TATATATATATATATATATGCTTTATTGAGTTTCAGAAAGAGTGAAAGGGAGAAAGAAAGAGAGAAATGTTATCCGCTGCCTCCTGCATGCCCCATATAGGGAATCCAGCCCACACCAGGAAATGTGCCCTCACTGGGAATTGAACAGGCAACCTTTGGGTGCATTGGAAACACTCAATTGAGCTACACTGGGCAAGGCAAAATATAATATTTTTAACAAGAGGAACTAAGGTTTGTTATTTAAAGGACTAGTGCATAAAAGAGAAATGTAAAGTACATTCTCAATGTGATTTATTTCTCTCAATTCAAGTAACACAATTAGGAAATAGAGAATGACAGACTTTTAAAAATAACATTTTCAAAGGCAAATCTGTGATTATTTCAAATGTCTAAATTATTTTCTGTTCTTAATATTATAGAAAATATTTTAAAATATATTTTATTGTTTTTATACAGATTGGAAGAGAGAGGGATAGAGTTAGAAACATCGATGAGAGAGAAACATCGATCAGCTGCCTCCTGCACACACCCCTCTGCGGATGTGCCTGCAACCAAGGTACGTGCCCTTGATTGGAATCGAACCCAGGACCCTTCAGTCCGCAGGCCAATGCTCTATCCACTGAGCCAAACTGGTTAGGGCATCAAATATTTTTTAAATTAACTGGGGTTTACAGAAAAACTGAGTTGCAAGTACAAAAAGTTCTAACATATCATCTTCTCATCAGCACCACGTTCCCCAAATATTAACATCTTGCATTAATCAGCAAGGAATATTTGCTACAACTGATGAGCCAATACTGATAGTTCATACCAGAGATCACTCTTTGTGTTGTGCATTCTATGGGTTTTGGACAAATTTATAATGAGACATATACACCATTATAGTATCATGCAAAATAATTTCACTTCCCTAAAAACCATCTATGCTCCCCACCTATTCATCCCTCTTTCTTGCCCTGCAATACTGCCTCACCTCATAACCAGTGACCATTTTACAGTCTCCTTAGTTTCCTGTCTTTCGGAATGCCATATAGTTAAAATCATATATAGCCATTTCATATTGGCTTCTTTCACTTAGCATTTGGGGCTCCTCCATATATTTTCATTGTCTAATAGCTAATTTCTTCATATCCTATAAAACAAAAGCCTAATATACTAAGTATCCAGTATTCCGTTCAACCAATCAAAGTGTGATATGCTAATGATATGCTAAGGCCGCTCAATTGCTCGCTATGATGTGCACTGACCATCAGGGGCCAGACAGTCAATCAGACACTGTGATGTGCAGACGCTCTGACTGGTAAGTTAGCTTACTGTTGGGGTTTGGCCGATTGGGACTGAGGGAGATGGGCCAGAAACACGCTGGAGCCCTCCCGGGGTCAACCTCCCAAGTTCTTCACTGGCCCTGATTATGTACTGGCAAGGTCCCTCGGCCTGGCCTGTGCCCTCTCGCAATCTGGGACCCCTGGGGGGATGTTGAAGAGCCAGTTTCGGTCCAATCCCACTGAACGCAGTAACTGCCCCCTGGTGGTCAGTGCACACCCCTAGGGGGAGTGCTGCTCAGCCAGAAGTTGGGCTCATGGCTGGCGAACACTACACTGAGGGCTCCCAGATTGTGAGAGGGTGCAGGCTAGGCTGAGGCACACCTGCCCCCCCATGTGCACGAATTTCATGCACTGAACCTCTAGTCTCTAAATAATATTCTGTGTGTGGATGCACCAGTTGTTAATCTATTCATCCACTAAAGAACATCTTGGTGCTTCCAAGTTTGGACAATCCTATATAATAAAAGGCTAATATGCAAATTGTCCTCTTGATGGGGAGTTCAAATGAGAGTTCGACCAGGGGGCAGGGCAGACAGCCAACTGCCCGTGGCACCCCCCCTGGCCAGCTCTGCCCCAGATCGGCCCCCTCATCTGGATCGGGGGTGGGGCCAGCTTACCAACCACTTGCAGCCCTGCCCCCAGCCAGCCTGACCCCTGATTGCCCCCCCACAACCAGGGGTGGGGCCGGCTGGCCAACCTCCCATGTCCCCTCCCCCTGGTCAGCCCAACTGGCCAGACCTCACTCGTGCCCGAATTTGTGCACTGGGCCTCTAGTTATGAATAAAGTTGCTACAAATACTTGTGTGTAGGGGATTGTACAAATGTCATGTCTTCATGTTACTTGAATAATTATCAAGGATGGTAAGAATATGTTTATTTTTTTAAAAAACTACCAAAGTGTCTTCCAAAGTGACTGTACAATTTTGCATTCTCACCAACATTGATAGTTACTGTTGCTCTACCACCTTATCAGCACTTGCTATTGTCAGTATTCTTGATTTTAGCTATTCTAATAGGTATGTGGTATTTCGTTGTTTTAAGAACAATTTATTTTTAAATCCTACAGGTTAAACCTATAGATATACCTGCATATATGTATAAAGTATGTAAGCATACGTAACTGTATTCTATACCACTTTAACTGCACAAAATTGGAAACTAACTAAATGTTCATCTTCAGGATATGGGTTAAATTATGGTACTGCCATGTAATGAAATCTGATGTAAGAAATTCAACAATTTCTGAAATACAATCATCTGTAAAATGTATCATTATAGCTTGACTTCACTTCCTAGCACCTCTTCCTTTCTTATTCCGCACTCCAGTCACTATGACCCCCTTGTTCTTTCTTCCTCAAATATCCAAGCACACTCATGCTCCAGGCTTTTATATTTTTTCTTCTGCTTAGTTATCTGCTCTCTAGTTATCTGCTCTCACTTTATTGACTCTGGTCTTAAATCGTATGATTAGATGGGCCTTCACTGACTTCCCTATCTAAAACAGTTCCATTTCAACATCCTATACTCTCTTGTCCCTTATTCTACTTTACTTCACAGCAGTACTTCCTGAAATGTTTACTGTTTAATCTATTTTTATATGTCTCCCTAACACTACAACTGTCAGCCACAGTGGAATTTATTAGCTTTGTTCCTTCCAAAAGCCTTAATGCTTAGACAGTGCTTACATAATGAGTATTTAAAAATACTTTTTTTGCCAAAACTGGTTTGGCTCAGTGGATAGAGGATCGGTCTGTGGACTGAAAGGTCCCAGGTTTGATTCTGGTCAAGAGCATGTACATTGGCTGTGGGTACATCCCCAGTAGAGGGTGAGCAGGAGGCAGCTGGGTCAATCTTTCTCTCTCATCGATGTTTCTAGCTCTCTATCCCTCTCCCTTCCTCTCCATAAAAAATTAAAAAAATTTTTAAAAAATACTTTTTTCGTTTGAATGTCTAAAAATCATGGTTCACAACAGTGTGTATATTATACAACAGTGTGTATATTATATTATATACACAGGCTCTATGTATAAAATATCTTTAGCAGAATGCTCAAGAAACTGAGTATAGTGGTTGTCTCTACTGAAATGAAGGGGGAAGGTGAAGAATAGTAATGAGGGAAAGACCAGAATATATATACTTTCATAGTTTAAATTTTTAACTAAGTTCATTAAGAACACAAAATATTAATTTTTAAAACTAAAGAAAATATATGTCCAAAGAATATCCTAATTTAATTTGCTACTTCTTTTAACATTTTCTTTAGCAGGTACCTTTATTACCAAAATTGTAAATGCTTTAACTTTTTACTTCATAGGTTTCTTCAATGAACAGATATGATTTAAAGATGAATATTACTCACATATATAATATGCCTCTTAAAAATTAGATATACCAACATGTTAACAATGATTACTTTGAATTAGACAGCTAAAGAGTCTTTATATTTAAAACTTTACTCCCCACACTAAGCATAAACTACTTCTATAAAAAATTCATGAACAATTTTAAAGATACTCAAGCAAGATTTAAAAGACCATTATTTTGCAGGGACAGTGTGGCTCAGTGATTGAGTGTCAACCATGAACAAGGAGGTCACAGTTTGATTCAAGTCAGGGCACATGCCCAGATGGCAGACTCCATCCCAATAGAAGGTGTACAGAAGTGATTATCTCTCATCATTGATGTTTCTCTCTCTTATCCTCTCCCTGAAATTAAAAATAAATTTTTAAAAGGACTATGATTTTTAAGTCTTTTAAATCTTTAATTTCTAGTTTTAATTCTCTGTTTAGAATGTAATTCTTAACACTTTAGAACCCATCATTTTATAGATGATATATCCTTACAATGGTTTTAAATTTCTTTTAAATTAATAGTGTTTTCCAATGATTACCATTAAATATAGATACATTCCTACAGAAAATTCTCCTTCCATAGAATCATGGATTATAAAGCCTGAAGTAATTACAAGCAATTTTGTTTCAGGCACTACAGAGATGAACTAAGTAAAGTCTAGAAAGTTCAGTAAATTTTCTAAAGTTATCTAGCTATCTAGTAATGAAAGAAGAGTGAAAAAAGAGATTAGGACACAGCCCTTTTGCTTTTCCTTATAGCACTCAATCTACTACAATTCAAACCAAGTTAAAAATCTCTGAGGGGAAAAGGAATAAAATGGTAGCTAAATCTATAGTATCCTGAGTGATTCTTGTTAAAAGCAGCAATGAACCTAGCAATAGACTCCACCTTGGCCTCAGCTGTCTGCAAATAGAGAGCATGTATTCCTTGCTGAAAGTCTGAAGCCAATCTAAATATGTAATTGTAGTACTGAAAGTTTTCCATGTTTGTGAGTATATTCACTTAGAAGAAACTATATCAGTTCTGGAAAGTGAATCAGTTCTACTTCAACTCTGTAAAATAACAGTTTAGAATTATCGATATTACAGTAAAATAAACTACATAAAAATAATGTATGATAAATCTTAATATCATAAAGGAATAACAGCATGTCATTGGACTCTTGAGTATTACTGAAAGAAGAAAAAAAAAGGTTTTGCTATACCAGTGTTTCACTTAACAATAAAAATCAACTGATAAGAAAACTGCATTTAGATACATTGTTACTAAGGACTATAAATGGATTCCCCTGTACAAGTCTCATGACTGTTATTGAGTACATACCAACAGTTTTTTGCCGTACTATACTCCTCGCCTTTTCAGTTCCTGGGGAACCAGTGGTTGTTGCACTTCTCTGTCTCATTGGGGCTTGGCCAGGCTGATCACGACTCCATCCTCTAGAAAATGACTTGTCAACTGAAACTTTCTGAAATTCATGTCCAACTCCTAGAAATGTAAATTTATAATCTTAGTATATCTGATCAATTATCTTTTCAGATTATATGTAATACCTAACCTCAGATTCTTAGACTTATTCATAATCTATATATATAAAAGCCTAAGCTACCATTTGGTTGGTGGCTATTATGCACACTGACCACCAGGGTAAACATGCTCTGACCAATAGATAAGCTTGCTGCTGGGGTCCGGTCAATTGGGACTGAGTGAGATAGGGCGGACAAGCCTTGGAGCCCTCCCGCAGTCCCTCCCCAGCCCTGATTGTGCACCAGTGGGGTCCCTCAGCCTGGCCTGTGCCCTCTCGCAATCCAAGGCCCCTCAAGGGATGTCGGAGATCAAGTTTCAGCCTGATCCCTGCAGGCCAGTCCAATGGACCTCACGGGTGCAAGAATCTGTGTGCTGGGCCTCTAGTTCTATATAATAAAAGGCTAATAAAGACCAAACTGCAAAATGATCAGTGGCTAGACAATCACCAGGGGGCAGACCCTCAACGCAGGAGCTGCCTCCTAGTGGTCAGTGTGCTACCATAAGTAGAGCACCGCTCAGCCAGAAGACAGGCTCACAGCTGGTGAGTGCAGTAGCGGTGGTGGGAGTCTCTCCCGCCTCTATGACAATGCTAAGGATGTCCGACTGCTGGATTAGGCCCATTCCTCGGGGTGAGTGGGCCTAAGCCATTAGTCAGACATCCTCCAAGGGCTCCTGGACTGCAAGAGGGCACAGGCCAGGCTGAGGGACCCCTCTCCTAAGTGCACAAATTTTGTGCACTGAGCCTCTAGTATACTATAAAGTAACAAGATAAAATGCTTGTGTACTGTAAGGCTTTATTGAATTTCATTTTATGTAGAAATCATATTCTAAAACAGATGCAGATTTTTTAAAATATGCCATCAACAATAAGTATTATAAATTCTCTGCCACTCAATTGACTCATAAGATAAATGAAACATCTGGACAAGCCAGAAGAACAGAAAATGAGCTAACCAAAACCATCCTGAGGTAGAAGTTACTAAATCTCTACCTGTCAATAATAGCTACTTGGGAAATAGTCCAGGAAAAAGTAGTATGGTCACATATTTACTATCTGGTGTTAAGTGTGAAATGTGATTCTGATATAATCTCTAATTAGAAACTATTAATAATGGAAAATACTAACAAACCAAGGATCATAAAATCATATATTAGTAACATAATCACTGTTACTGCCCCTCCATCCCTTTTAAATATTAGAGAGATACACAGTCCACATGTGGAATGTTTGCTTTTAGTTAAGAACTAAGAAAATGTTTTCAAAATAATTTTCAAATTATTTTTAAGTATAGTAATATAAAACCATCATCTAACAAAAATGTACGTATGATAAAGGAAGTGTTTGATAAACTTCAATTTTGACTATTAAAAATACAATATTTAAGATTCTGACTTATCTACACTAATAAAAGAGAAATATGCAAATTGACTGTACCCCATATTGCCCATCAGCCAATCAGGAATAATATGCAAATTAACCTAGCAAAGATGACAGGTTAATTTGCATATGCAGGCACAGAGCGGCTGGGTGGGGTGCCTGCTATACAGGGGACAAAGGGGGGCAGAGGGAGCTACAGGAGCGGTGCTCCAGCCTTGAGCGAAGACTTGCAGGCTCTGGGGCGGCCAGGAGTATAGCCAGGGGAAGGAAGGCCTATTCTTGCACGAATCTTCGTGCAACGGGCCTCTAGTTTATAACTCTTTATATACAGAACACTTTGTCCCACATCAATATTATTACTGATTTTAAGGTTTTTCAACTTTCAGGATAAATGAAAATATGACTTTTAACCTTAGCCTTTCCCTGGCTTGGTCTTCTGAGACCAAATTATTTAAACAAATTTATATGGAACATCTCTGTGAACAACTCTTACCTTTCCCTTTGTGCTTTTTTTGCTTCTGTTCACTCAGCTTATCCAATGGTAAATCACTGAGATCCAAACTATATAAATTTCTAGCTAAAACTTTAGTTAGTGTCTCCATAGTCAGTGACCACTCAGTGGCTAATTCTTCCCAATAGGTCAATGATGACAAGACTGAGAGTAAATCATCCCAAAGTTCTCGGGAAATGTACACATTTAGATTTGCTTTGATCCAGGCAACTATAAGAGTCTATAAAGAAAAAAATCAGAAATAAAAATGAAATATATTCAAACTCATATATATTCAATTATTTTAAATTACTTAAAAACAAGTAGAATAATATCCATGGCCTTTTCTTGGTACATAGTAATTCATACAATCATTAGTATCTATTATATATTTCACTTCAACAATTGCCAACTTTCAACATTCTAGCAATTAAGAGAAGGTGCCAAAACTGAAAAGAAATTTCCCTGAAGTTGCTCTTTTATGTTAATATTAAATAAATGCTTTTTATAGATACAAAATCTTTCCCACACTAACTGTTGAAATTACTGAGTAATTAATGGTTACTGAACTAAAAAAAACTCATATCTTCAAATCACTAACTATAAAACTTGAACATTCTAAAAATAGAAATTAGAGATGTACCTAACTTAGTGAATGTATTTTTGAAAATAATATGTAAACTGAAGAATAAAATTAAATGTCATTGTAAAGAAACCAAAGGAATAGTGTTCTGTATAAATTCAATCACAGTAAAAAAATTATTCATAAAAGAATAAGTATCAATAATCAGCTAGTACGCCTGTGATGCTGTAGATATATCCTATTGATGAAATAAGTTACAAAATAGGTTTTCAAAAGCTGAATCTTAGAAACTTTATTAAGAAATTCACAAAAATTTACAGGTTAAATGTAAAGATGAAAATGAGCAGAGTTTATAGTACAGAATATTAATAATTAATGAGCTTCCATTCTATCTTTAAATGTTCAGATTACAAAAAAGTTATTCTACATAGCAAGGTAAAATTTTGTCTTCCTATAGCTCCCACCATTGGGTTAGTTTTAACAATGGGGAAATTAAAGAGAGAAAGAATAAAGGCTAATGAAGTCAAGAGGAGTTTAGATAATAAATATAGCTGGTTTCAAAGGGTTTTTTACTAGCAACATAGAATTTTAGGTAAACTGCATATTTGAAAATAAATTAATTTTAACAGTTACATTTCTGGTCAAGGAACAGATCTCAGATTTTGACATTAAGAACTATTTTTACCCATGTATTTATATTCAATGTGTCATATTAAGAAAATATTTTCCTGCCAAAACCGGTTTGGCTCAGTGGTGGAGCATCGGTCTGCGGACTGAGGGGTCCCGGGTTCGATTCCGGTCAAGGGCATGTACATTGGTTGCGGGCCCATCCCCGGTGGGGGGTGTGCAAGAGGCAGCTGGTCGATGTTTCTCTCTCATCGACGTTTCTAGTTCTCTATCCCTCTCTCTTTCTCTCTGTAAAAAATCAATAAAATATATTTTTAAAAAAATATTTTCCTTTCTAGTTTCCAAAAAATTCATAATACATTTAAAGTCAGTATTTTGTCCTTAGGTTGGAAAACATGATGTATAAATTCCTATAAAATCAAACTACCACTGATACTTCAAATGAAGAAGTGAAGAGAATAAAGTCTTATGGAATAGCATAAATAAAAACCTTGATTATTTACTACTTCTCATTGCTGTGGAACAATATAAAACAAAGTTTTGGCTCTCCAATAGGACCCGAGACTTGGAAACTCATAAAGCAAACAATCAGGCTACTACTCATGAAGCCCTCCAGCAGCTTTTTGCAATTGTACAAGTGAGCTACACAAAAAATAAAGTAAATATCATTAAGCCTGAGTTAACCCCTTTTTTCAAAACCGTATTTCTACTTTTATAATAGGTTATGAATTTGTACATATGGCAAATAAGTGTGTTTTAAAAAGCAATTTTTAATTTAGCTTTACAAAAGATACTTTAATATAAAACGACTACCAATTTAATGCTTTTTCCCCTCAGGTAACAAATACAGAGCTCAGTAAGTCTTAAAAAAATACATATCTATACACCTATTTAACTATCTATTTATTTTTATTGCCTGAAAAAGTGGTCCTGCAAGTCGACCTGCCAAGGTCATGTTTTTTTTCCCCTGGAACTGTAGGAAAGCTTGTGATGGCATCTTCAGTACAGACTCTGTGACTCTGAGCAACACAAGCAGCATCTGTTCCCTTAAAAAAAAAAAAAAAATTAATTAGTTTCCTTCTTGCATATGTTTGCTTTTGATTAATGAATAAGTTTCAAATTATTATCTGCTTTAAAAATTGTATTATCTTTCAATAACTCAAATAGCAAATACCTTTCAAAATTTTAGAATTCTGAAATATTACAATTTTAAATTCCACTTTTTAAACCTATACCATTTTTTCAGACACAATACCTACTCATCAAATAAATATTTATACAAAAGATGAAAATTTTGGGTGATAGTGGTGAGACCGGTCCATCCTACACCCCAAAAATTAAATAATAAACTTAGGAAGCTGTTTGAAGAACACTAATTCAGCTATATAATATAGTTCTACCTGATCATCTTTATAATAGGGAGAACCACCACATATCTAGAATTGAAACAGGTTCAATTTAAAAATACTACATGATTTTATTAACCAATGTCACACCAATAAATTCAATTAAAAATGAAACACTACATGATATTTTAAGATTAATAAATCACAATGAGCCTGCCAAGTAATTAAGGACCATCACTCTATTGCTTCTTCCCATCTTTTAAGTTTAGCCATTTAAAATAATATTTTTAAAATATTTTTTAAATTGATTTCAGAGAGGAAGGGGGAGGAAGAAGGAAAGAAAGATAGAAACATCAATGACGAGAGAGAATCATTGATTGGCTGCCCCCTGCATGCCCCACATTGGGGATTGAGCCTACAACCTGGGCATATTCCCTGACTGGAAATTGAAATGTGACCTCCTGGTCCATAGGTTGACACTCAACCACTGGCCTGGCCATTTTTTAAAATATATATATATTTTATTGATTTTTTTTTTCACAGAGAGGAAGGGAGAGGGACAGAGCTAGAAATATTGATGAGAGAGAAATATCAATCAGCTGCCTCCTGCATACCCCCTACTGGGGATATGCCTGCAACCGAGGTACACGCCCTTTACCTGAATTGAACCTGGGATCCTTCAGTCTGCACGCTAAAGCTCTATTCACTGATGGGCCGGCCATTTTTTAACCATTTATGTTCTTTGTGTATTGCAAATCAAGCCCCATCCTAATAATATCTTTACCTTGCCTTGTTCTTCTTGATGTTTATTATTAAGACCACAAAACTGCCATATTTTCACCTAGTAATTCAACTACATGTGAAAAAGAGTCTGACAGTGGTTGTATATGGTTTGCTGAATAGGGAGGCTAACAGCCTAAGTCCCTATCACAGCCCCTCCTCTTTGGCTTTATTTGCTAGCCCATTTCAGACATAGCAACACATGGAGCAGTCCATGTGAGAAAAGATACAGCAGAGGCAGCAAAAGATCCCATAATTAGATTCCATATTTAGATGGATATTCTGAAGAGTGAGAACAAAATCAAATAGAAAAGTATCATTCAATGAAAAATATCCTGAATTTGCATGCAAATAAAAAATAATAAAAATAAAAGGTGCCACATTTGTAATCCTAGGCTTCTAGCTTAGCTAAAGCTATTCATAGTAAACTGCTATTTGAAGTATAGATTTCCAAATAAATCTTATCTGATTTGTGGTCAAACCTTAACTCACTCGTGTATCAGATAACCTTTCACTTTATGCTACAATAATAATGATTTTAATTCATAAAGACTTGTAAACTCAATAAAAGTTTATTGTGTGGGCAATCTTTCATTATGCTTTTACTTAAAGGAATTAATAACAAAAGAATTCTAAAATTGTGTTCCAATTTTAAAACAAGACTCTCTTTAACCTGGCTCCACAGCATTGATTCAAAGCATTTTAAAGTAAAAAAAGGGCAAACTAACAAAATAAGTTAATAACAATAACTACTTCTAAATATAATTATATTAATACTGCTAATAAAGATTTTTTTCAAAAGCAGTTTTTCCATATATAGCAAAATATAAATTAAGCATGTTCTTTGAGTAAGAACTTCCATTCTTTAAGAATGAGTCAAAGAAAAAATTGTATGTATAAGGATGTTGACCAACCTCCCCTTCTACAACAACAAAATGAAATATCTACATATCCATCAATAGGTGACTGGTTAAGAAAATTATGGCACATATATATGGCACAATACTATGTAACTGTGTGTGTGGCTTGGTGAGAGAACTTTTGGCCATTTTTTATTTTCTTTTTCAAACTTTTCTTTGAATTTCATAATGAACATGTGCCATTTTTGTGAAAACTGAAGAACAGCTCTTCTCAACTTCCCTAAAGGCCTATTTTTTCTATTCAGTTAAACAAATCTTTATAGAGTACCAATACTATCTAAAGAATTATGCTAAGAAATTAGGAAATACAGAAACAAAACAACCAGTCTATACCTTTTAGGATCTCTCAATTCAGTGAGATAAACAAATGCATATAAGTAATTTAGGGATTAAGATAATGTGACAATTATAACCGAGGTACAAATACAAAATTAGAATTAAAGAAAGGAAAAAAACATACAAGAATATGTGGAAAAATGAAGGTGACACTAAAGATAGTTAATGGTAACAATAAAAAAAATGGCAGAAATTAGACATTGTAAAGGAAAGTTCACATGTGCTCAGGAAATTTGATAAAGCTGGAGGCAGAATCCCATCCTGCAAGATGCTTAGGTTTGAGAAAGGGCTGGAAAGTAAGCAAAGCACTAACTGTACATGGCCTTAAATGCTAGGTTAAGGATTCAGGCATTCATACATTCCATAATTACTTATTCATTCACTCACACATGCATACATACATACATTCAATTCTGGGACACAGGAGGTTATCATTTGCCCATTTTAGAAAAATAAGCCACGGAGTCTTTTTGAAGTTTGAACAAAGATGTTGAGATAGCCCGGCTGGTGTGGCTCAGTGATTGAGTGTCAACCCATGAATCAGGAGGTCACAATTTGATTTCCAGACAGGACACATGCACAGGTTGAGGGCTTGATCTCTAGTAGGAGGCGTCAGGAGTCAGTGAATCAATGATTCTCTCTCATCATTGATGTTTCTATCTTGTTGTCCCTCTCCCTTTCTCTCTCTGAAATCAATAAAAACATTTTTTAAAAGATGTTTTAAAAAAAAAGATGTTGAGATAAAGCAGACTATTGTTGTCATCATAATTATATAAATTATATTCATTTATTCAATAGAAGCCTATTAAATATTGTAACAAGCCCTGTTCACAGACACTATTCTCTAAAAATTACGATATCCATACACACAATATAAAAAACATAAAGAATAAATATTTTTACCAAGTCTTTTTGTCCATTGATACTTGCACAACCATGAACCGATAAATGTTAAGAATACGTTTACACATATCTGTGTGCTCATCCAGAAGACTTTTTATTTCATTTGCAGGTTCAAGAAGAAATATGTTTGATGAGTTCATAATAAACACCTAAGACAAAAGAAATCATTAGCCATTCATTATAGAATTTCAATGGCAAATTTCTTATTCAAAGGAGAAAAAAAAAACCTTAGATGCTGACTAGGGTGTGATCAATAATTTAAAAGCATAAGACCATAGATTAATTATATATAATTCTATTTCTACCAAAAACTTGATACCTCAAATATAAACTCATTAAATCTATGTATTTTATGTTTATCTAGACAAATTTTAAATTATTATTGGGAATGCCCCAGTAAAAAACAGCATATATTTTTATTTTTATTTTTTTAAATATTTTATTGATTTTTATAGAGAGGAAGACAGAGGGATAGAGAGTTAGAAACATCGATGAGAGAGAATCATCGATCAGCTGCCTCTTACACACCCCCTACTGGGGATGTGCCTGCAACCAAAGTATATGCCCTTGACAAGAATTGAACCCGGGATCTTTCAGTCCGCAGGCTGATGCTCTATCCATTGAGCCAAACCAGTTTCGGCTAGCGTATTTTTTTTTAAACTGAGAGCTTTCATGTAAGAATGGTATTGCTGTCATAAAATGAAAGAAACAATAAAAAAATACAAATAGTTTAGAATAAAAATGATATTCAAATCAAGAATTTTCTGAATGAGGTGTTTAAAAGCATCTTTCCTCTTTTTACATGTTTATTGGCAATGTCTATATATCTTTTGATAATAAATAGACTGTATAAACAGACTATATATTATAGTACTACAAATTAGGACCTATCAATATGTATCTTCAATTAAATTCATTACAATCAAATCATTTATACTTTGTTATTGAGGACAAAATTATAATGGTAACAGGCATGTGGCAAAGGCACTCAAAGACACTTTGTAAAAGAGAACATTGCATCCATTGTAATCTTAGAACATTTAAATCTTTTATATTAATAATTCTGATTTAAATCCCTGGATGAATTATCTAACAAAATACAGTTGTAAAATCACATAGGAAAAGTAAATTAAGCTAACTTTAAAATAGTTAAAATAGAAATAAGCTGACTACAATTTAGCCACACAGACCAAGAAATGCGAGAGGTACAAATAAACATCGTACATAATAAAGAGGTAATATGCAAATTGACCATCATGCCCTCACACAAGATGGCCACCACAAGATGGCCAGCAGGGGAAGGCAGTTATGGGCGACCACACTGGCAGGGGAGAGCAGTTATGAGAGACCATGAAAGCATGGGAGGGGAGTTAGGAGTGACCAGGATGTCAGGGGAGGACAGCTGGAGGAACCAGGCCTGCAGGGGAGGTCAGCTGGGGTGACCAGGCCAGCAGAAGAGGGCAATTTGGGGGGAACAGGCCTTCAGGAGAAGGCAGTTGGGGTCAACCAGGACTGGAGGGGAGAGCAGTTAGGAGTGACTAGGCCAGCAGTGGAGGGCAGTTGGGAACAACCAGGCTGGCATGGGAGGCTGTTGGGAGCGATTGGACTGGCAGAGGAGGGCAGTTGGGGGCAATCGGGCTGGCAGAGGAGCAATTAGGCGTCGATTAGGCTGGCAGGGGAATGGTTAGGGGGCGATCAGGCTGGCAGGAAGAAGCAGTTAGGGGCAAACATGCATGCAGGCAGGTGAGCAGTTGGGAGTCAGCAGTCCTGGATTGTAAGAGGGATCCCGGTCTGGAGAGGGTGCAGCTGGGCTGAGGGACACTACCCCTGAATGAATTTTGTGCACTGGGCCTCTAGTTAGAGATAAAATAAGGACACAACTATATATCAAGGAAAGAATTTAAAAATGATGATAGTTCACTGAATAGCTTTATGCTAATAATTGAAAATTTAATGCTTTTTAAAGTATATTTTTGATGTTTTTGAGAGAAACAAGGAGAGAGAGAGAAGCAGAGAGAGAGAGAAAAAGAGAGGGAGGGAGAAGGCAGGGAAGGAGGGAAACATTGATGTTAGGGAGAAACATCAATCACTTGCCTCCTGTACGAACCCCAATGGGAGATTGAACCCACAACCTGGTTATGTTTCCTGGCTGGAATTGAACTGGTGACCTTTAGGTGCATGGGGCAATGCTCAACTAACTGAGCCACATCAGCCAGGGCAAATAAGTTATTTTATAGACAAACATAAATTGCCAAAACTAACTGAAGAAGAAATAGAAAAGATGTATCCATTGAAACCATGAATAAACTTGAACTGGTAATCAAGGTCTCCCTGACCCATCTCTGAACACCAGGCCTGGGAAGCTTTACAGGCAAAGTTTTGCCTAACCTTCATGGAAGATGATCCATATTTTACACAAACTCTCTGAGAGAGAAAGATGAAGGAAAATCACCCAATTTATTTTTACGAAACTATAATCCTATTACCAAAAAACAAAAACAAAAAAAAAAGAACTACATAAGAAACGACCAATATCACTTATGAACATATGGCCAAAACAACAGTAGCAATTCAAATTGGCAAAATATAATACTTTATGATTAACTAGTATTTACCCCAGAAATGATAGGATGTCTTGACATCAGAAAAGCCTGTTAATATAATATACTCTATCAATAGATTTATGTGGGGGTTAGGGGAGAGAGCATGATCATCACAATGTATTCAGAAAAACCATTCAGCACTCATTCATTATTAAAATAAAATACTTTATTTTAGCATACTAGGAAAAAAATGTGTAATTCCTTAATTTGAATAAGAGTATTTATCAAAAACTATAACAAATGCTATATCAGCAACTGAACCTGAGAAATACTGCCAAAAGCCAAAAACAAGGGTACTCACTATCATCTCATTGTTCTCAAGGATGCCACGCATTCAAAAGGAAGTGGTGAAGTGGGGAGTAGAGAATGAATATAAATATGAATAAAGTGAAAAAGAAGACAAAACTGAACTCTGTAGCAATCTGGGAGAAAAGCTTTCCAGACAAAAGAAGATGCAGATATAAGGTAACTGAAGAGACAGCCTGTGCAACACATATGAGAAACAGCAAGGAGTATAGAATGAGGGGAGTAAGGAGAAAAGCCAGTGGGAAATACATTAAGAAACAGAGACAGATCATGTGAAGCACAGATTCTCATACTACCAGTGGTAAAAGAACAAGTTTCTTCCACCAATCTTTAGCAGAAAGGTTCTATAATAAATGATGTTTTCTTAAAGAATAGGAAAAAGGAAATGCAAAAAGACATACAAACCCAAACTTTCATTAGAATTAAGAGATATTCAATGACTCAGTTTATAAAATTACTCCCAATTTTATAATTATGTTGTGGGCCAGTATTAGTCAGTCTAAGGATTACAATTTGAGGAACAATCCTAAATAACCCTATATAATAAAAGCCTAATATGCTAAGTGTCTGGTCATCTGTTCAACCAATCAAAGCATAATATGCTAATGCCGCTCAACCACTCGCTATGATGCGCACTGACCAGCAAGGGGGGGCGGGGGGGTCAGAGAATCAACCAGTCGCTATGATGTGCACTGACCACCAGGGGGAAGACACTCTAACTGGTAGATTAGCTTGTTAGTGGGGTCTGGCCAATGGGGGCTGAGTGAGACTGGCAGGACATGCCCCGGAGCCCTCCTGCGGCCCCTCCCTGGCTGCAACATTCCATGACCCTCTCCAGCCCTGACTGCACTGGTAGGGTTCCTTGGCCTGTCTTGCGTCCTCTCACAATCCAGGACTCCTCAGGGGATGTCAGAAAGCCGGTTTCAGCAGACCCCACAGGCCAGGCCAAGGGACCCCACTGATGCATGAGTTTGTGCACTGGGCCTCTAGTGATGTAAGTAAAACCTTAATAGACCATTAGAAAGGCTTTTGTTTTTATAATGAATGATAAACTTATACAAGTTTTAAGCAGAAAAATGACATGAACTGACTGTTAATAGGATCACTCTGGCTATTATTTTGAGATAACCAGGGTGATGGGTGGGCAAGAGTAAAAGCAAAAATACTAATTAGTTTACTGCATCCTGGCCAGCATGGTTCTGTGTCTTAGCATTGATTTATGTACCAGGAGGTCAAAGTTCGATTTCTGGTAAGGCACATGCCCAGGTTTTAGGCTTGATTCCCAGTGCAGAGGCAGCCAAGCAATGATTCACTCTCATCATTGATGTTTCTATCTTTCTCGCCATCTCCCTGCTTCTCTCTGAAATCAATAAAGACATTATTTTTTTTTTTTAAAGGATTTTACTGCAATAATCTAGGAGGCCTGGACACAAGAGGTAATATGAGTGCTCAATACTTGTCCAATTCTGCAAACAATATGAAAATTGACAGGATTTGTTGTCAAATTAGATGAAAGATAGAAAACAAGACGGCCTGATAACAGTGGTTTGCAAATTTACTACATTTAAAAAGTTATACTCTACACTGAAATACTGAACTATGTTCAAAATGTTTAATGATTATGTTACTTTAAAAAAATAATCAAAAAGAGATCCACCTGCAAAACTGCCTGGGTACCAGCTCGTATGTTTTCTTCTGTGGCTTCTTCAGAGGCGTTATGAAGAACATCTTGATAGGTGCCATTTTTTGCCCAAGTGGAATTTCGAACATGATCAGCAATATTGGCCCCATTTTCCTGAAGAAAAATACCAAATTTTTAATATTTCATTAATTAAAAATGCTATGACAAATCAATAAGCTGAAGTAAACTGGAAATTATTGGATACCACTGCTAAGCATCTTCTCAAAACAGCAGGTGTCTTATTTGATTACAAAATCTGTTTGCTCACCAGAGACTACTGTATCATTTCAGATATACAGATGTTTTTCTATGTACCAAATACACACTTACACAGCCTTGAAAGAGATGGATTTTGCTCTAAAGTAAATGCGTTAATCTAAAAAACTTAAATAAAATAGAAAATTGCTTCTATTTATCCTACTTAAGATTAATAAAATTCCTATTATCCATAGAAAGAACTCTGATACTTGAAACCACTAAAATTGCAGCTTTCTGCTTGAGATTTAGCTGTCAAAATCTTACTGACTAGAGATTTCCCTTATCTGTGAAAAGCCACACAAATAGAGATTTCACTCAATGTTGTTCCCTTTCTTAAAGTTACTCTCTAGTTTTTTCAGCTTTTGGTCACTCACCAGTATCTTCAAATAGTTTTTTAAAAAATATTTTTTTCTAGAGCTTATCATTGTAAAATGCAGGTGATTTCATCTAATACTTTGTCATTTCCAGAAGCAGCACAGAACTCAGCTCTCAGTAGCCAAAAGAGTACCTTTCTCATAAGCTCCAGATATCATCTAAATAGTTTTTCCTGAATGATCCACAAGCACCTCAAATTAAAAATGTTTAAAAGGAAGCTTATTATCTGAGTCTTCCCTCCCATCCTCAGCTTCCTACTAACTTCTCTAGCCGCCTTGGCCACCACCACTTGCATTTTTAAAATTCCTATTCAAGAGTGAATGGCAACCAACCAAAAAAAAGGAACTTGGGACACCTCCCCATTTCTCATTTCTCTCAGCCAATTTGATCATCAAAACATATTGATTGTACCACCAAAGCAGCTCATATATCAGTCTTTTCTTTATATTACCACTAGAGGCCTGATGCATAAAATTCGTGCACAGGAGGAGGGTCCCCTCAGCCCAGCCTGCACCCTCTCTAATCCGGGACATCCCTCTCACAATCCTGGACCACTGGCTCCTAACTGTTCATCTGCCTGCTTGCCTGATTGCCCATAACTGCCCACCCTACCAGCCTGATCACCCCTAACCACTTCTGTCTACTGGCCTGATCGCCCCTCACTGCCCCCCCTGCCAGCCTGGTTGCCCTTAACTCCTCAAACCTTGCCAGCTTGATCACCCCCAACTGCCCCCCTGCTGGACTGGACACTACATGCAGCCATCTTGTGGTGGCCACCTTGTGTCCACGTGGGGGCAGGATCTTTGGCCACATGGAGGCAGTCATATTATGTGCTGGAGTGATGGTTAATCTGCATATTACTCTTTTTATTAGATAGGATAGAGGCCTGGTGCATGGGTGGGAACTGGCTGGTTTGCCCTAAAGGGTGTCCTGGATCACGGTGGGGGTTCCCTTGGGGCATGGGCGGCCTGGGTAAGGAGCTGTGGTTTGTAGGCCAGTCACGCCCCCCAGCGACCCAAGCGGAGGCTCTGGTATCTGGAATTTACTTGCCTTCTACAGTTGAAACTTTGCAGCCTGGAACAGAGCCAAGCCTTCTGCTTGCTCCTTGGCTGCCACCATTTCTGTTTGGATCTGTTACCTTCTATAATTGAAACTTTGTAGCCTTGAGTGGAGGCCTACGCTGGCTAGGGCAGGTGGAAAACTTGACTTCCTCCATTGCCAGAGAAACCCAAGCCACCCTCCTGATCTCTATGAATGTAGCCATCTTGGTTGGGGTTAATTTGCATATTTGCTCTGATTGGCTGGTGGGCATGACTTGTGGGCATTGCTTATGGGTGTAGTGGAGTGATGGTTAATTTGCATATTACTCTTTTATTTGGTAGGATAGATTGCAACTGCCACTGTCCTATCTCTATCACATACTTAGCATCTCCCTTCTGAACTTGGCTAATATTTCCTAACTAGTCTCTTGCCTCCAGATTGGCCTCCAATCTATCTTTCAACCAAGATTTGGAATAATACTCCCGAAATATGTAACTACTCATGCATTCTTCTACTCATAATCCTTTGACGGCTTTCCAGTGTCCAGAATGTAATCAAAGCCAATTACAATGGTATACCTGCACATTTTTGTAGATTCTATTCACACTATGTGGTTCCTTTCCCATTTATTACCTGCTCCTTACATCATACTACCTCCTCCATGAAGTCTTTCCTAAACTGTTAGATGTTCCCTCTTTCACACACTAAATCACAGAAATAATAGTTTTATACTATTTACTTTGAATATTTGTCTTCCTGCTAAATCATAAGTTATATAAAGACAGAAATTATGTTTTTTGGGGCTTATACCTCCAAAACTTTCTCAATTGGCATGTTTTACAGAACAATTTGTAATTTGTGGAAGTATTTTATTGTCACAAGAAATGAGAAGACTAGCCGGCACCGGTTTGGCTCAGTGGACAGAGCGTCGGCCTGCGGACTGAAAGGTCCCGGGTTCGATTCCGGACAAGGGCATGTACCTGGGTTGCGGGCACATCCCCAGTGGGGAGTGTGCAAGAGGCAGCTGGTCGATGATTCTCTCGTCGATGTTTCTAACTCTCTATCCCTCTCTCTTCCTTTCTGTGAAAAATCAATAAAATATATTAAAAAAAAAAAAAAAAAAAAAGAAAGAAATGAGAAGACTATAGGTTTTTAATAAAATGATCCACGGAATGCTAAACATACTATAAGGTGCTTGAGAATCTGCACATGCACATACTATCCTGTATCCAACATATCTTACAAATGCCTCATGTGCACTATGTGAGAAAAACACATTTATTAAAAAAAAAAAAAACTAAACAAAAAATCATTTATAAAAATTATCTGAATGTATATCTTAACTCCATCTTATGAATAATGCCTAATTTTAAATGATTTTTTTAATCTATTAAATTTATCAGAAATATCCTATATAATTAAAGGCTAATAAGCAAATCAACTGAATGGTAGAAAGATCAGTCACTATATGATGCACTGACCACCAGGAGCAGATGTTCAATGCAGGAACTGCCCCCTGGTGGTCAGTGCACTCCCACAGGGGGAGCTCTGCTCAGCCAGAAGCAGGGCTCACGGCTGGCGAGCACAGCAGAGCAAGCCTAAGCCATCAGTCAGACATCCCCTGAGGGCACCAGGCCTCTAGTAAATCAATAAATGATTCTATCTTCTGTTTGTCATGCATGCCATTAGCAAAAGTTGCTGGCATTAAAAAAACAAAAAACAAACAAACAAAAACAACAACAAAAATCTCTAATGGCAACATTGATTGCAGTATTTAAGCAGCAGAAAACACCTATACAATACACTTATATCACCTTGCATTTGTAGCTGTTCTTTCCTCCCACTTTCAACTATTAGATTTTTAGTTTTATGAACAGATTATATTATCTGTCACTTTTATTTAAGGATAGTAAATGACACAGGGTAGGCTCAGTATTAAGATAAACATTCATGACAAAATTTGGGGGAAAACAGATTATTTAGATTGACAGTTTTATCCTCTAGCTTGACACAAAATTTGGATATTTTTGTTGGTATATAAAAAATAGAACTGGAAATTTTATTTCATAATTTACATGGTTAAATTTAGTTACTTCAATTAAATTTCTTAGTTACATTCTCCCCATTCTTAGACATAGGGGAGAATGCCCTACAAATACATACATACATATATACACTGAGTAGCCATATTATTATGATTTCTGAACGCATAATAATCTGGACACTCAGTGTGTGTGTATATATATGTGTGTGTGTGTGTGTGTGTGCGCATATATTTGTGTGTGTGTGTGTGTACACACACACACACGTATACACACACACACACACACATATATATATTAGAAGCTTGGTGCATGAATTCGTGCATGGGTGGGGTCTGGCCAGCCTGGCCAGGGGGAGGGACCATGGGCAGTTGGCTGGCCTGCCTGTTGGTCAAACTCCTGGTCAAGGAAACAATTTGCATATTAGCCTTTTATTATATAGGATATACATTGAGTGGCCAGATTATTATGCATTCAGAGATCATAATAATCTGGCCACTCAGTATATATGTATATATATCTATATCTATAATTGATTCACAGTTTTAAATATTATACCTTTTATAATAGTTTTAAATATTATACCTTTTATAACAGCATCTAATTTTGATCCAGACAATGACATAACGATATAGTATATATAACCTCAATATTATTATATTTTTTAAGTTGTGACATCAAAGAGCTTTGGGATAGGGTACTGAGCTAATTGTAATGTTACCGAAATTATGAAATATACTAATGGTATCTTTACTTTCCCATTTAGTAATTATATGTGTGTTAACATCACACTTTTTGAAAATCTAGTCTATTAAACGAATAATAAAGTAAGTTAGTCTTATTTTACCTCTTCTCTCTTTTCTCCTTCTTCCATTGAAATATCATGGTCTGGAACACTGTCAATGCAAGGTAAGTCAGAAGAAGAAATAACAATTTCTTCAGGCTCTTGCATGAACAAAGGTTTTTCCTCTTGCTGAATCCATTCTTGATATACTTTTACCACTTTCCTCATTGCTGCTGCTTCACAAATTGGTAACAAAAATGCCTAGTGAAGAAAAGAAATAATGATACTTTTTAGATGCCTTTTACTTTGCCAAAAACCACTAATACATATATTTTTATCTTATTATAAAATGAGGTATAGACCATTTATACCTCATTTAAAAATATATATATGTTTTACTGATTTTAGAGAGGAAGGGAGATGAACAGAGAGATTGTGAAGTCTTCCCCTGAACAAAAAGTTCACCAGTTTGATTTCTGATTAGGGCACATGCCCAGGTTGCAGGCTCAATCCCCAGTATACAGGAGGTAATTAATCAATGATGTTTCTCTCTCATCAATGTTTCTCTCTATATATTCTTTCCTTTCTTCTCTCTCTAAAAATAAATAAAAGTATATTTGAAAACAAGATTTTAATTGAAACAAAACAAAATCTAACTCTGAGAATAAAAATCACATGAAACAAATCAACTGAGCTTTTCTAAGCATATAAAGAAAAAGAAAAGTCAGAGTTTTCTTATTTTCTTTTATTTATAACAAATTTATATAAATTAAATATTAAGAAAATAATACTTAAGTAATTAAAATAAATATTTTAATCTTTTCTTTAGATAATTGCCAGGTTGCCTTAACTTTTTTAAAAGGAAATATGTCCTTGTTACTCACAAGAATACTATATTTTCACATCAAAATATTTTTTTTTCAAATCCTCACCCAAGGATATGTTTCCCATTGATTTTATAAGAGTTGAAATGAGAGGGAGAGACGGAGAAAAACACTGATGTGAGAGACACACACTGATTGGCTGCCTCCCACATGCCTCTGACCAGGGGCGGGAGCTTGTATCTGAAGTACGTGCTCTTGATCAGAATCTAACCTGGGAGTCTTCAGTCTGACACTTTATCCACTGAGCAAAACCAGCTAGGGCTCAAAAGCATTTTTTTATACAATTCAGGTAACAAAAATAAAACAGTAAAAATATTCTTAATCATACCACCCAAATCCTTTCCTTATGCATGTTTGTGTTTATGTACCGTAATATTTCACTGTACTTTTTATTTACTAATAGAGATTGAATTAAATTGCTTTTAATTATTCACTTTACAAACACTACCTATTCATTTCAATTCTAAAATCAGCCTTCCTGGCCCAGTGGTTGGCTCAGTGGTAGAGCATCAGTCTGGGAATGAAAGGTCCCAGGTTCGATTCCGGTCAAGGGTATGTACATTGGTTGCGAGCACATCCCCGGTGGGGGGTGTGCAAGAGGCAGCTGGTCGATGTTTCTCTCTCATAGACGTTTCTAGCTCTCTATCTCTCTCCCTTCCTCTCTGTAAAAAATCAACAAAATATATTTAAAACAAAAACAAAAACTTCCGATAAATGCTCTTTTTTTTGGCATGAAATTCAACATTTTAAACATAAAAATACCTATGTTAACACTTTCAGAAAATTTGACATATTAACTTTTCAAGCATGTTTTCAAAACAACAAAATAGCATTTATACCAACTGGTCAACCTAGAAGAAATGGACATATTCCTACAAAAATATGACCTTGCAAAACTCAACCAAGAGGAATCAAAAAATTGGAATAGGCTGATATTTGTGGAGGAAATTGAAGCAGTAATCAAAAAACTTCCAACAAACAAAAGCCCAGGACCAGAAGTCTCGCAGTGAAGTTTTATCAAACATTCAAAGAAGAAATAAAACCTATCTTGCTCAGACTATTCCAAAAAATTCAAAAGGAAGGAACACTTCCAAGCTCTTTTTATGAAGCCAGCATTACCCTAATCCCAAAACAATACAAAGAAAAAGAATTACAGGACAATGTTCCTCATAAACATAGACACCAAATTCTCAACAGAATTCTGGCAAATTGAATCCAACAATACAATAGAAAGACCATACACCATAACCAAGTGGGATTTATTCCGGGGATGTAATGATAGTATAATATCTGCAAATAAATAAATGTTATCCACCACATTAACAAACTTAGAGATAAAAACCATATAATCATATTCATTGATGCAGAAAAAGCATTTGACAAAATCCAACACCCTTTCTTGATAAAACTCTTAGCAATGTGGGAATAGAGGGATCATGCCTCAACATAATAAAAGCCTTATATGACAAACCTACAGCTAACATCATACTCAATGGGCAAAAATTAAACTCATTTCCCCTAAGAACAGGAAGAAGACAGGCATGCCCACTTTTACCACTCCTGTTCGATAAAGTACTATAAGAGCTGCCATAGCAATCAGATAAGAAGAAGAAATAAAAGGTATCCAAATTGGAAAAGAAGTATAACTGTTCTTATTCATAGATGGCATGATACTATACATAGAAAACACCAAAGACTCCATTAAAAAAACTACTAGACTTAATAAATGAATTCAGTAATGTAGCAGGATACAAAATTAACAACCAGAAATCTATGGCCTTTTTATACATCACACAAATGAACTCACACAAAGGTAAACGGGGGAAAAAAAAAAAAAAAAAAAAAAAAACACAATCCCATTTACCATTGCACCAAAAAAATTAAGATACCTAGGGATAAACTTAACTAGGAATATAAAAGACTTGTACTTGGGAAAACTACAAGACATTGAAAAAGGGGATACAAGCACATAGGAAAGATCTAGGGAGAGACAAAATTGTATCACTTATATCTCTGGTCAGCAAACTGCGGCTCTTAAGCTACATGTGGCTTTCTGGCCCCTTGAGTGTGGCTCTTCCACAAAATACCACGGCTTGAGCGATCTATTTTGAAGAAGTGGCATTAGAAGAAGTTTAAGTTTAAAAGATTTGGCTCTCAAAAGAAATTTCAATCATTGTATTTTTAACTTGCGGGAAACGAGTAAACTCATCATATCGCTTTTACACCAAAGTGCAGGAGACGAGTTAACTCGTTTTGTTCCGCTAAGTGGTGGGCCGCGGGAAACTTGTAAACAAGGGCGCCAAATGGGTGATGGACTACACATTATCTATTGTCAGCGGTACCCTATGCGTCTTCCGGCCGATACAATAAATTGAAGTGGAAAGATATCATTGTGAAAGAAATGAAGAAGTTTTTGGGGCTTGTAATACTTATGAGACAGGTACGCAAGGACTGACGAGATGATTACTGGAGCACGGAACTGTGGATGGAGACACCGTTTTTTTCCAAAAAACGATGAGTAGAGACAGATTCCGTCAAATATGGAGGGCCTGGCATTTCAACAACAATGAAAATGTGCAAGACAACTCAGATAAACTTTGCAAAGTCAGACCATTATTGGATTTCTTTCTTCCCAAATTCAAAGAAGTTTATAAGCCTATTCAGCAGTTGTCTTTACATGAAGGCATAGTACCGTGGAGGGGAAGATTATTCTTCAGGGTTTATAATGCAGGAAAAATTATAAAATATGGGATTCTGGTACATATGGTATGTGAAAGCAATACTGGCTACATATGCAATTTCAAAATTTATTGCGGTGAAGAGATTAATCGAAACAATTCAAACAGTGGTATCTCCTTATACAGAGTTATGGCACCATGTATACATGGATAATTATTACAATAGTGTTCAAAACAGCGAGATACTCTTGGGGGGAAAAAATCAGAATTTGCGGTACCATACGGAAAAATAGAGGACTTCCGGATTGTCTAAAAACGGTTTCACTGAAAAATGGTGAAACAACTTTCAGAAGGAAAAAGGATATTCTGCTGCAAGTCTGGCAATCAAAAAAGACAGTGTCTCTCATATCCAGCATTCACTCTGCTGAGATGAGGGAGAGTCAAAAACATCGATAGAAGGACAAGACAAAAAATTATAAAGCCAAACACTGATCGATTACAACCGATACATGAAAGGTGTAGACCGGGAGGATCAGTACTTGTCATATTATTCAATTTTACACAAAACGGCTAAATGGACCAAAAGAATGGCTATGTACCTTTAAATTGTGCCTTATTCAATTCATTCGTAGTATATAATTCGGTTAATTCGGCTAACAAAAAGAAATATCAAACTTTTTAAAAGGACATAGCGGTCCATTGGCTAACTGATGAAATCTCGATAGATGAACCACCGAACCTGTACCATCGACATCTAGGAGCAAGGGTTGCAAATCGGATCCACCAGGGAGACTGTCAATGGACATGAGGAAACATACATGGAACCTCTAGTTGGAACCGGCAGAAATAAAAATGTTGTACGTCGTTGTTGTGTGTGTGCCGCAATGAGACGCGGTGCATGTGCAAGTTTTGTAATGTACCCCTGCACAAAGAAAAGTGTTTCGAACGCTACCACACAGTGAAGCACTATTACTAGGTTATAGTTGTTTTTTTTATAAGATCTGTTGAAAATTTCGAAAAAATATTGTAATTTGTATAAATAAAATTATTTTGATTGTTTTTTTCTGTTTACCTAGAATGTAGTAATTTTGTGTACATGAAAAATAGAATAACATATTTTGCAAAGTAAATAAATAGAGACCTCTTTTTAAACTAAACCACTGAAAGTTTCATAGAAAAATACCAAATAGATAGAAAGATAAATATTTTATGGAAAGTCTAATTTTGGCGAGAAAATGTCAAAAAAGCCCCTCGTTATGACGCGATTTGGCGGGAAAATGCCCGATTACAAAGTGTTAATATTTGGCTCTGTTGACTAATGACTTTGTTGACCACTGTCCTAGGGCAATGGAGACTAAGAAAATAAATAAACAAATGAGACTACATCAAAATAAAAAGCTTCTGCACAGAAAAAAAAAAAAAATCAACCAACCAAACAATACAAACAAACAAAACAATCAACCAAACAATAAGAAACCCCCCTGCATGGGAGAACATATTTACCAATGCTATTTCAGATAAGGGTTTAATTTCCAAAAGGAACCCTGCTTCATTGCTGGTGGGAATACAGACTGGTACAGTCACTATGGAAAACATGATGTTTCCTCAAAAAATTGAAAATGGAACTGTCATTTGACCCAGTAATACCACTTCTAGTAATATATCCCAAGAAAACAGAAACACCAATCAGAAAGGATATATGCACCCTTATGTTCATAGCAGCACAATTTAAAATAGTTAAGATTTGGACACAGCCTAAATGCCCATTAGCAGATGAGTAGATTAGAAAACTGTGGTACATCTACACAATGGAATACTACGCTGCTGCTGCAAAAAAGAAGGAATTCTTACGATATGCAACAGCATGGATGGAACTGGAAGCATTATTCTAAGTGAAATAAGCTAGTTAGTGAAAGAAAAATACCACATGATCTCACTCATTTGTGGAATATAAAGAACATTATAAACTGATGAACAAAAATAGATAACAAAGGCAAAGAAGCATCGAATCAACTGTCAAACTACAGTGGGAAGGCTGGGAAGGGTTGGGTGGTGGTGGGGGAGGTAAGAGATCAACCGAAGGACTTGTATGCATGCATCTAAGCATAACCAGTGGACACAAGACCCTAGGGCGAGGGGGAAGGCATGTGCCAACAGGTAGGGGAGGCCGGGGGAATGACAATGGGGGAAAAAGGGAGACATATGTACTACTATGTTTAATACTTTAAACAATAAAGTTTTCATATGGTTTCTTTTCCACAAAATTTCTATGTAATTGAGAATGTGCATTTAGGAATTTCTAGTTATCTTTATGCAAAATAGCTTCCACTTTTTTCATTTCTCTCCTTCATTTTATTACCCAAATAATATATGCCTTAAGCAACTTTAATTTCAGAATGCCTTACAGGACAAACTAAGCCCCTATAGGGAGGATAAAGGCATTTAAAACATTGCTTCTTATTTTAATAAATCACTTTATTGATCAGAAAGTGAAAGATTAAATGATTTTATTATAATTTATTAATCAAATGATAGAAGTTTCAAATCACAAAGTAACTAAGAAAATTTTTCTGAAAACAAGTATGAGGGAGTAGTTATTAAATTAAAATCATCATAAAATAAAAATATAAAATACTAAACAACTACATGTAGTAAATTTTAAAAACTAAGTATGAATTTTAAAAGCCATTTTTAAGAAGAGTAAATTTTAAAGAGCTAAAAATCAGTACAGTATATTCAATATTAAAGACAAGTCTGTATTACAAATTAAAAATACTGAGAGGTACTTTACCTGACGAAATATCTCTGTGACAAAGTTTACATTACTTCTTTTAGAAGAAAAAACTCTGCGAACTATTTCAATGTCTGTGAGATGTTCTTCATCAATACTACAAAGGCTAGATGAGCTAGGTTCTCGCTCCGTCAGAGTGCTTGTATTAGAATGAGACTGTTCTGGTTCTGTAGTTCTATCTGTTTTATCAGTATTATCAGTTTTATTTTCTTCTCTGGATACCAAACTAGCTGCTGCTCTCTAAAATAAAAAAAGAAATGAGGAAAATATAATCATTAACAAGATATTCTTTCTTCTAATAACTAATACTAAGAGAATCCAAAGAATTGATTCGAAATAATAAAATGGCAATAAAAGTAATTCAACATCTGAGTGATACAGTGATAGTTGCCACAAGTCATCTACCCATCTATAATTAGATTTGTTTTTCAGCATATCTGCAAAACAAATAAGTTAATAATTAAAGCTGGGTAAGAAATTAATGCAGGTAGAGTTGGCCAGAACTTCAATAATAAGTAAAAATCATAATACTGAACTGTCTGTTTAATAAAGCTTTAATGTTTAAAATCATCTCTAGACAAAAATTACACAAGTAAAAACTTTTTAAACAAAAAACAAATTAGTGGAAGAAATTTTATAACAAAAATTGAAATGAAGCCAAAAGGTTTTCTAAGGAAAAATCCTGGGTTGTAATAACTAGTAACGACAGAGGTTCGACCAACAGGAAGTCAGTCCTGCTTCTGCTGCAGGAGTGGTGCCCCAGCACTGCCTCCTGAGGGGCCTGCGAATCAGGGCCAGAGAGAGGCCTAAGAGAGAAGCAGGGACTGATCCATTTCTTCTGTGGCAGCTTTTGATCAGCACTTGCTCTTTCTCTCCCAGTCTGATTAGCAGCTGTACCTCCAAAGGGGCTGCTGATCTGCCCTGTCTTTCTGATCAGGCCCCGTTAATAGGCCCAGAGATGCTAACTGGCATAGGAAAAAAACAATCAAAACCAACTGTGGGTGCTATGACGAACCAATGGCTGCCTAGAGGCGAAGCTTCTGACATTGACTGGCATAGAAACTGACCAATCAGAACCAAATCTGGGTGTTATAAGGGGTCAATGGCTGCCTAGGAGGTAGAGCTTTTGACGCTAAATGGCATAGAAACCAACCAATCAGAACCAAATCTGGGTGCTTTGGGGAGCCATTTGCTGCCTAGGAGACGGAGCTTTTTATGCTGACTCGTATTGAAATAGATCGTTCAGAACCAAATCTGGGTGCTGTGGGGAGCCAATGGCTACCTAGCAAGAGGAGCTTTTGACTCTGGCATTGAAACTGACTAATCAGAACCAAATCTGGGTGCTGTGGGGAGCCAATGGCTACCTATGAGGCGGAGCTTTTTACACTGACTGGCATAGAAACTGACCAATCCAAATTAAATTAGCCAGTAGATGATGGCATTTTTGTTGGGTTAATTTGCATACTAATTCCTGATTGGCTGGTGAGCATAGTGGAGGTAGTCAATTTATACATTTCTCTTTTATAGGATTAGCATTTAGAAAATTTGACTTATATTCCCTTCTATTTATATGGCTGTGTGTGAAGGCCTGTTGGGGGCAAGATCAGGCTGGCATGGAAGGGCCACTGGGGGCAAGATCAGACCAGCAGGGGAGAGCAGCTGGGGGCAACCAGGCTGGGAATGGAGGGTAATGAGGGGTGAAATCAGGCTGGCAGGGGGAGGGAAGTTGGGGGCAACCAGGTGGTTGTGAGAGAGATGTCCAACTGCTGGTTTAGGCACTATCTCACAGGGGGTTCCCCAATTGGGAGAGGGTGCAGGCTGGGCTGAGGGAACCCCCCCTCCATGCACAAATTTCATGCATGGGCCTCTACTATTCTAATAACAATATAATTTTACCATGACTGGAGATGAAAAAAAATATTAAGGTGGTGGTGAAGAAATGACTACCATGTTGTATAATAGGAGAAGCACTATTCTGGTAAGTATCATAAATTACTTTGGTAAGTTACTCGATTTTTGGTCTCAGTATTGCCATCTATATAAAATAAGAAGGTTTTAGAAGAATGATCTCAAATATGCCTTCCCAATAAAAAAAAAACTATGACTTCTGTCTATTATTAAGTTCTGGGATAAGAAAAATAGTTCTGCTTGAGAGTTTCTACATTTAATAATTCTTTGTAGAGAACAAAGTTTTTGGGGAAACACATATAGCCATATAAATAGAAGGGTAAGGGAAATATAAGTCAAATTTTCAAAATGCCAATCCTATATAATAAAAGAGAAATGTGTAAATTAACCATACCTCCGCTATGCTCACCAGCCAATCAGGAATGAGTATGCAAATTAACCAAAAATGGCGGGTTAATTTGCATACACAGGCACTGGGCAGAGAAAGCAGAGCAGGAGACCTGGCGGAGAGTGTAGAGGCTTGGGGAGCCAAGTTCCCCAGGGCACCAGATGGAGAGCAGAGAGGGAGAGCTGGCAGTTTGGAGGACTTGGCAGGGCAGGAAGAGAAAACCCACAGTGCGGGGAGCACCAGGAATGCTGTGAATCTTAGTTCTGGTGGCTGACGGATCTCCCAGATACTAAAGCAAAGTGAGCCTGGAGCAAGTTATTGTTGTGGTGAGGGATGAAAGGAAAGTAAAGGTGAGAGACATAAGTAAAATCAGAGTGTCTAGGAAAAATTAAAGGGAAGATATCCTAAAACTTCCAGGAAATCTTCACCAATGAAGCAAAGAAAAAAATGCCTCTATTATTCTGTGAGCAACAAACCAAACTGGGTTGGGGTCTCAGACAATTCGCTCATATGATTTCACAGACAGACAGAAACTTCCGGATTGGAGAGGGCTCCCCTGAGGGCTCCCAGACTAGAGAGGTTCCAGGTCAAGCTGAGGAACCACCCTCCCGCCCCATGCACGAATCTTTGTACACCAGGCCCCTAGTAAACTAATGAACACATTATAATTCCACATAATTTTTAAAAGATTTAAGAAATCAAGGGTAACAGATGATCTAACTCTACAACTCAAAGAATTAGAAAAGGAGCAACAAGAAAAGCCCAGTGTACGCAGAAGGAAGGAAATAACAAAAGATTTAAGAAATCATACAAAATACACACACTGTATAAGATTTTTATAACTAAATGAGGAAATCTGAGAAAAGAAAAATAAAATAGTAATATGGACAAGTTCAGGAAAAAAGCACATTGAGGGTAAAATTAAAAGTGGAAAAGAAGAAAACTTTAATTAAAAATAACTGATTTTGCTGAAACCGGTTTGGCTCAGTGGATAGAGTGTCGGCCTGCGGACTGAAAGGTCCCAGGTTCGATTCCAGTCAAGGGCATGTACCTTGGTTGCAGGCACATCTCCAGTAGGTGGTGTGCAGGAGGCAGCTGATCGATGACTCTCTCTTATCCATGTTTCTAACTCTCTATCCCTCTCCCTTCCTCTCTGTAAAAAATCAATAAAAATATATTTTAAAAAATAAATAAATAAAATAACTGATTTTTTGCTAAGTTTTTTAAATAAATGAATTTATGTATCTAACAAAAAAAACTGATTTTTTAAATATTAGCTCCTCCTTTGAAGAATTGTATAACACTTCTGGATTCTGTGTTTATTGGGGGGTGGGGGGAAGAAAAGGAATAAAATGGTGACAGAACTTTAAATCAGCATTCTATGAATGCCTAGAAATCTAACAAGAATTATAAAGGTCCTACAACCATTTGATTGCAAACTTTCCAATTGCAGGAATTTATTGCAAAATTCAGAATATTTTTATTCATACAATTCAGTATATTTTTAGTACTATAAAATTAAACCTAACCTACAGAAATAAATTAAAAGCTGAGACTTGGCTCTGGTTGGCGTGGCTCAGTTGGAGCATTGTCCATACACCAAAAGGTGGCAGGTTCAATTTCCTATCAGGGCACATACTCAGGTTTCGGGTTCAATCACTGTTCTCCAGGCACAGGTGGGAGGCAACCAATTGATGTTTCTATCTCTCTCTTCCTCTTTCTCTAAAATCAATAAAAATTGTTAAAAAGAAGAAAGAAAAAAAAAAAAAAGCTGAGACTCAAAAACGACTGAAATTATCTTCTATTCCTTATAAGTTTTATATTTTTGCTAAGAAAACTATTGGTCCTATAATTATTATTAAAATTTAGATTTATAAAATATATATAAAATATATTTATACAAAATAAATATTATTGTTTTATTTAAATGTGTTCTACTCCTAAGGCAAATCAGTGGACAAATCTCTTAAGCCATTTTTAACTTTAGCAAGTTATGTGTGTATTACCTGAATATTCTTTGGCAAGATTTCACCTTCCATCCCAGGAATATGAGGTCCTGTATGTGGCTTTGGCTCAAGCCAAAAAGAAACCAGCCAACGAATGACAATTACACGAGCCTTAATGAAAGGCTCCTTCGTACAATATATTGCTTCATTGGTTTCAGCATCCTTTTTTATCATGACATAATGTGGCTTTGGTCTCATCTGTGGAATATCTATGCAAAATAAAGGAGGAAAAAATAAAAGAAAGGAACTGTGCTCAGATAAATCTACATTTTTAAACATTTGAGAAACCCCTGTGAAGATACCCTGATTTCAAAAGTAGATTTAGCACAAAAATGACATTTTAAAATAATTTGTGCCCTGGTGGTTTGGCTCATTGAATAGAGTCTTGGACTGAGGACTAAAGGGCCCCAGGTTCGATTCAGGTCAAGGGCACATGCCTAGGTTGTGACCTCAATCCCCAGTTGGGGGCATGTAGGAGGCAGCTGATCAATGAATCTCTCTCATCATTGATAATTTCTGATTCTCTCTCCCTCTCCCTCTCTGAGATCAATAAAAATATGTTTTTAAATAAAAATTTAAAATTTTGCTACATATAAGCATAGAATCCAAAAGAGTAAAACTATATATTGCTGATATATAGAAACGTTTCCTTTTGGAAAATATCATGAAAAGGCTCAATGAGTCCTCTCTAAAAACAGAAACTTCAGAGCCTTTTAAAATTAATGAAAGCTCATTTCAATTAACCTAAGATTGAGACATATTTTGAAATTATACAAAACATGAGCTTTTTAAAGCAAATAATATTCCCAATGGCAAAGGCTTGCTACCTTGACGAATTTAAGACATTTCTACTACCTATAATGGTTTTGCCTATACCTGTTAGTTGCCTAAACTTGGCAGAGCTTAAAATACAAACATCTTTCTGCAAAAAGGACATTTCTCATAGGACTACCAATGCTTTCTATATAGAGCAGATGTCTGCTTCTAACCTAAGATTTGTCCACGAGACTCTAGCTTTGAGGCCCCAACAGACATCTTGGCACTGCTACTAAATACTGGACAAGACATGATCAAAATATATTACAATATAATTATTCATAAGGAATTGAATAAGATATACTAAATTGAACTGTTGGGGAACCTTAAAAAGAAAATTTATAATATAGAGAGACCTATCTCATCCAATAGGTGAGATCCAGAGAATAAGCTTTTTAAAAAAAATCCTTTCACTCACAGTGAAAATGTCCTAGTAATAAATTTCCACTTTGGATATAATCTACATCTCTAACCAATACAAATATTAAATGTTATGAGTTTTCTGCAGGTAACAAATGTCAACTTTACACTGAGGCATGTTTTATTCTTAACTTTACATTGAAGTATGTTTTATTCGTATACATGATCTTTTAGAAAATTCCAAAGGCTACCTACCAAGCACAGGATGATATAAACTGCTCTCCTTGCACATGTTTGGAAAAATATAAGACAAGTAGTACTTCTTAAAATGTGAAAACAAAAATGAAAATCCCCTTTCTTGATTTTCTTTGTTCTTCCATTCTAAACTTTTTACCTAAAAGATACAATTAGAATCATTCCAGGAAAAGGAAACAATTATCTATGATAAACTTATAAAAGGTTGCTTAAGCAATATAATAAATTATTACACTATGAATATATACTAGTATAGACATATGTGTACATATATATTTATATATGTACACATATGTCTATACTAGTATATATTCATAGTGTAATATTATACACACTATATATATGTGTGTATGTATATGTATATATATATATATATATAAACATGCATAAATTTATAAAGAAGAAATTTTAAAAACTGGTCTAATGACACACAAAAATACATTATATTCCAAAAATCTTAGAAGTTAAAATGTGCTCTGAAAAACATTCAAAGTTTATTTAAACTCATTTATATTCATGACAAAGATGCTAATGTTCTTTCCTCTTCGCCTTTTTTTAGAATAATTCAGTCTAAAAGTTATACAAAATATGTGAGGAAGTAGGGATAGATATAAAAGCAGTGGCCACCAAGTACAGTTAAGCAGAGTCCGGCCACAGGAAGCAGGGCATCTATAATGGGAGTATTGCAGAGGCAGCAATAGCCTAGTGGGGACTCCGAGTAAGAGATGAGGGCAGTGTCCAAAAAAATATGCACCTGAAAATTTTAAAAGTACAAAGAGGTTTAAGAGTAGTAAATTACACTTCCCCACTCTCACCCCATTCTCAGCCCACCTCTCTTGGCAGACTGTTCCTTAATCAAAGACATTAGATTTTCATTTAAAGTACCACAGCTACTAATTATAAATGAAAGTATTAGAAAGTAAACTCAACTGACTCAGATAAGAAGGTATATACATGAATAGTCTACTGTAAAAATTTCTCCTTCTAGCTTCCTTTCTAAGAGCTTCAAATGTCTCCAATAATTTTTATTTCAGACAAGACATATTAACATATTTTCAAAGCTAAAAATGTCACTCCTTCTTTAGGATAATAAGCAAATATCTACTAAAATATAACAGAATAATGGTAAAAGGGGGGGGGAATTATCCACACAGGATAATAATGGGGATAATATCAAAGAAAATAACATGTACCTGAATTACTATGTATTTTAAAAGTGCTTCAAGAAAATAGCTTGTGAGATCTTCTTGTCCTTTATCTCCTGATTGTGGGGGGACAAGAGGAGTGATTTCCTCTGTAGTAACTTGAGCTATCCAAAGACAAAAAAAAGCTTAGTATAATTACAAAATAAATTTAACAATGCAATAATATAACCCAAATAAAATTTAACTGCAAAACATATACAATACTGCTTGAAAACATTCTAATGATTAAACCTTGACATAAATCTGTCATTCTGAAAGTCCATCACAATAATCATAAACTTTAATAATCAACTCTTTCATGAACCCTTAATTGAGGGAATATAACACAGGACTGGACAAAGGGATATGTAGGAATTAAGAGTAAATTAGCCGGGACCGGTTTGGCTCAATGGATAGAGCGTTGGCTTGGGGACCGAAGGGTCCCGGGTTCGATTCCAGTCAAGGGCATGTACCTTGGTTGCAGGCATATCCCCAGTAGGGGGTATGCAAGAGGCAGCTGATCGATGACTCTCTCTCATCGATGTTTCTAACTATCTCTCTCCCTTCCTCTCTGTACAAAATCAATAAAATATATATTAAAAAAAAAAAAAAGAATAAATCACAGCCCTAACCAGTTTGTCTCAGTGGCTAGTGTGTCGGCCTGCAGACTGAAGGGTCCCAGGTTCTATTTCGGTCAAGGGCATGTACGTTGGGTGCGGGAACATCCCCAGTAGGCGGTGTGCAGGAGGCAGCTGATCAATGTTTCTCTCATCAATGTTTCTAACTATCTATCCCTCTCCCTTCCTCTCAGTAATAAAAAATCAATAATATATATATATATATATACATATATATATATATATATATATATATTTTTTTTTTTTTTAAGAGTAAATAACATCACGCCCTCGCTGGTTTGACTCAGAGGATAGAGGGTTGGCCTGCAGACTGAAGGGACTTGGGTTCGATTTCAGTGAAGAGCACACACACCTCAGTTGTAGGCTCAATCCCCAGCCCTGGTCAGGGCTAGCGTGGGAGGCAACCAATCAATGTATCTCTCTCACATCAATGTTTCTCCTCTCTGTCTCCCTCCCTTCCAATCTCTGAAAAAATTGACGGAAAAATATCCTCAGGTGAGCATTAATAAAAAACAAACACACACACACAAAAGAGTAAATAAAATTTTCCTTGGCAAAGACCTTCTCATGATATTTTTAAATTCACATTAAGAGCATCTATTATAAAAGTTCCATAATAAGATGAGAAACATAAATAAGAATGTGCTCATTCATAAATGAAAAGTCAATTTGATTACTCTAGGTAAAGATCATGCTTACTATTTAAGGTAGTTCCTTTATTCAAAGGATAAAATACTATTTCCCTCTCAAAAAAAAAAATTAACATCTTAGTTCCTTGATTGCAAAAGTGCACTTATAAAATAAAAACACTTTTATATACTTTTCCTTCTCAGATATTCAAAAACATTCATGATAACAAAAGCAAAACCAAGAAAAATCAACCCACAACTAGTTTCATAAGCAGTAGTACCTGGTTTAGTTCAGGCAGATCTCTAAATTTATCTCTTAGTAACTACCAACTAAGTAATTAAGCTCACAGAAATAAATTTTTTTTACAATCCTCTTTACATCAAGTGAAACACATTTGTGCTTTTTAAAATATATATGGTTTTTTTAATTAACTTTCAGAGAGACAGGGATAAGGATAGAAAGGTAGAAACATCAATGAGAGAGGATCATCATCAACCAGCGGCCTCCTGCATGCCTCTGGGGATCAGGACTGGGGATCAATCCTGCAACCCTGGCATGTACCCTGACTAGGAATCCAACTGTAACCTCTTGGTTCCTGGTTGATACTCAACCACTGAGCCACATGGACTAGCCATACATGTGCTTTAATGCACATCCAAATTAACTCAAGGATTCAAGATGATACGTGAGAATCAGAAATTAGAGATAAATGTAAACAGCATACATTAACTATGTATTTTTTATGCTTTGACACAAGAGCCTTGATGGCCTTGGACAGAGTAACTCTTCCACAACTACTTATTTCCCAGAGATAGTAAAGATCACCCTTTATATGCAAACCAATCAACCTGGAGTCCACATATCCACTGCCTCCTTTACTGGGCTCACACTGAGGGCCACTAATCCTGACCTAATCACCCGAAGCCCAAGAACCAGACAACTAGGGACAACTCACCTTCCTCACTCCACCCGACCAACCCTGGTACTTCCCAGTATGGCTACCCTCCCTGGTGTGGCATGCCCTCTCCTCTTAGGAACTCTGAATAACAAATTTTTTTTTTAATGACAATTGTCTCCTGATCTGTTGTTGGCTTCACCATACCTGAATGATAATCAAACCTACAGTTTAAAATATGGCCTTGGATTACTGTTAATGTACAAACATTTAAAAATATATATATTATCAAACTACACAGAAAATTTTAAATAGTAATGTATAAGATCTCATTAATCTTACTTTCTTGAAGATTGAGTGGAGGATTAATGAGATTATCTAAAGTTCGAGGTCCATATTCGGATTGTGGTGCCGAAAATCCAGGGATTAAGCATGAAAACATCCAAAGCTGTTCTTTGCTACAGTTATTCTGAAGAGCTTGCAACCATAACAAGAAAAGACGAACACCTTCCCGCCGGATCTTAAAAAAAAACACACAATATTTTTACTTGTCATGGAAATACTTTCTGCTTTTTAAGGCCAAAATCCTCTAGAACAGGATTACAGAATGACACTTTCCAAAAGATAGGTAGGAAAAGTAGAAGGTAGGAGAAAAAAAGGAAGGATAGATATATAACACTCATGACATTTCTTAAACCCTCATTATCTGTAAATCTGAATTCACTAATTTTGGACAAATAAAGAATGAACTTAGCCTGTAACTACTTAAAGCCAACAGGTAATTTTTTTTATTCTATAATTTCCAATTGTAAAAAATCAGAAAATCGTTTCCTTGTTTATTTCCCTCTCCTTCCCTCCTTTCCATAACTACCAGTCTAATCCAAGAAGCAAAAAGAAAGAGGGCAAAAACAGTTTCTTGCTATAATGAGTTCAGTAAAAGGAGGACTGATTAGGGGGATCTTGGTGAGTTAACTCAATGTTATTGTTCTTAAAAAGTTTTCACCATCTGAAATTATCTCATTTACTTATCATTTGCTGCTGAGCTGCAAAGCAGGGATTTTGGCCTATTACTATATTCTAAGTACCCAGAACAATGCCTGTACACAAAAGACAATAAATATTTCAATCAATGAATGAATTCTCTCCCAGGAAAAGATTTTCTTATTTTTTTATTCAACCTTGGATAAGCAAAACACAAAGTTCTTCAATAACCTAACCTCACTGTTAGCTTTGGAAATTATCCTAACACAGCTCTGTTCACAACCACTGTCATTTGTTTAACTGTTTCCACCTCATGGTTTAGTCAGATAGCAAGATAAAGATATAGGAAGGCTTTTCCTTTGTTCTGTTGCAATCACGTCTTGATGTCAAAAGTACCTATAATATGACTTTTATCTAACATACAGCAAGATACTTTTGACTGGGTAGCTTCTCTTACTAGAATACAATGAGATAATAAAAAATAAAAAAATTGCCGAAACCGGTTTGGCTCAGTGATAGAGCGTCGGTCTGCAGACTGAAAGGTCCCAGGTTCGATTTCGGTCAGGGGTATGTATGTTGGTTGCGGGCACATCCCCGGTAGGGGGTGTGTAAGAGGCAGCTGGTCGATGTTCCTCTCTTATCGACGTTTCTAGCTCACTATCTCTCTCCTTTCTTCTCTGTAAAAAATCAATAAAATATATTTAATAAATAAATAAAAAATAAAAAAATTTATATACATTCCCTATTTTCCTCTACAACTAAGAATAGCGGTGATAAATGAAGAATAATTTGCTGAATGACTAACTTTTGTCTTCTGGAAACCACAGAATAAAGTATTTCTGGCAATGGCAAAAGTAAAATAGTAGTTTTTAACAATAATTTTTCAATAGCCTGGTCAAACTAGTATGTATTTTCATAATGAATATGTTGCTATATTTTAAGTGAATTCAGCTCAATTAAGTGAACTACAGGTAATTCAAAATTCTTTAGAAAAAAGTTGATATAGGAAAATTACTATATGCTTTACTTAGTTTTTAAAAAGTTATAGAAAAGAAATATAATAATATACCTTCAAGGAGTTCCCTGTGTGAAGTAGTTTCTTTAAAATCAATCCTGAAAAGAAAATATTATTTTAAATATTCACATCTTAATTTTTCTAAATGTCAGAGTTCTCGGTCAGACTTGAAAACACTTTAAAACAAGTCCTTGGCAACCTCCAAATTATTCTTGGTGACCTTGCTATCCCTCTGGCCATAATCTTGGGGCCAGAAGGGTATATAAAAAGTCACCTTTTTAACACATTGCTTACTGAAATGAAACATGATATCACCTATTGAAACAAATTCTAAGCCCCCAAATAATATTTAATATAACAATCTATGTATATGTCTTATTTATACTGAGAATATAATTAAATATTTCTCTATGAATAATTCAAATAAAAAACCACTATAGAAAATTTCCATTTAGCACATAAACATCTATAACTCTAATATTTTTCTTTAAAATATTTTCATTGTATTAATTTTTTCAAAATATTCAAAACCATCAAGATATTCAAAACCACATCTTTTCTTTTAAATTACATGTTTCAAAAGTACAATAAAATACTAAAATAACATTAACATGTATCCAGAGGTCCCCATTTTTCTGAACAAATCTCAACAGTCCCATATTTCTTGTACTTTCAAAAATTCACTTATTCACATTATTTATAATGCTCTGCCTAATAGTACAAATATCACTGAAGCCTCCTATGAATCCATCATGAGTCATTTCCCAGAAGAAACCATTACCCAGATTTTAGTATTATTTCCAAAAATATTTTATATTAATACTTATTGGTAAGTCCATAAAATATATAGGTTTATATGTTAAAAAATTATACCAGTAACAACAATTTGTTCCACAGCTATCTAATCCTACATTTTTTTTATTTGTTCTATGAACATTTATGTATAAATTATCAAGCCTGTGACTTTATTTGGTTTAAGTTTCATTTGTCATATAAAAATAAGGTTTAATATTTCCACAAACTGTGTTGATTTATCTGCAATTCCCTTCTTTATGCTTGAACAAACTCAATTTCTTAAAGTAATATAATACTATGTAAATACCAGTCATCAGCTCTATTAAAAATCTATTGGATTTCTGACTTGACAGTGTTGTTTCTACGGGACGGTAAAGCCTCTGCAGAAAGTTCCACCAGGAGGACGGTGACGTTTTCACTCCCTTTTCACTCCCTTTTAAGGATGCTGTGGTAACAATTCTTGGCAACACAAGAAACTGACAAAAGCTCTATTACTGCCAGTCTGAGTGTTAAATACCTTAACAATGTTTTCTTTTGATATCTCCTAGTGATATTCAGCATCTTTTCATTTAGCCATTCAAGTTTCTGCATATTTTTCAGTTCGGTTATTTTCTTTTGTTTCACATGAGAGCTCTTCATACATACTGACTACTAATTCTATGTCACTTCTAAGAATTGGAAATATATTCTCACAAACAACTCAACCATGTTTTTGACTGAGGAGATTGTATCTTCTGATGTACAAAAGTTTTACATTTCAATATAATCAATTCAACATGTTTGTTTTTTTACATGTACTTACTATATCTAATTAAATACTACCCTACCTTAAAGTTACAAAGATAAACCAGTTTCTTCAAAAAATTAAAAATGGAACTGTCATTTGAGCCAGTGATCCTGCTTCTAGGCATATATCCTAATAACCCCAAAACACCAGCCAGAAACAATGTATGCATCCCTATGTTCATAGCAGCATTGTTTACAATAGCTAAGATCTGGAAATAGCCCAAGTATCTGCCAGTAGATGTGTGGATAAAAAAAGCTTTAAAAAAAGAAAGCTCTATTATCCTTTGAGATAGAAGGAAGGACCTGAAAATTATGCTAAGTGAAATAAGCCAATTAGAGAAGGACAAATATCTCATATATACAATCTAATGAACAAAATAAACTGACAAATAAAATAGAACCAGTGGAGTGAAAACATGAAACTGACTAATAAACTAATTACAGAAACAAGGAGAAAATGGGAAGAAATTAAACAAAGAACTTATATGCATGTACAGTATTCACTGCCCATGGACACAGGCAATTTGGAGTGATGAAAGCCTGGGATGAGGTGGGACCCACGGGGAAGGGAGCAATGGGAGAAAAAGGGGAGACATCTCTAATACTCTTAAGAATAAAGATTAAAGAAAAAAAAAGTTTTGCAGTGTTGTTTTTCAAGGTTAGGTCCTGAAATTTTTTTCTGTGTAGAGCAATAAAACTTTTTTGCACAGATGGATAACCAAGTGCAGTGATGATTCTTTCAGGGTTTATAATGAAATGAAATGCTATCACAATCATATTTCAAGTTTCCATTTATAAGCCAAGGTCTGTGATGGGTCTCAATGTCTTTTTCCATTAGTCTATTTGTCCAACCTTACATAAATGATAGTGTCTTAATTATTAGAACTATATAATAGAGAAATCAAAATGGCATAGGTAAACTCCTAAACTGTTGCCTCGCACAACAATTTCAAAACTAAACTAAAAGACAAAACAGACATCATCCAGAATCACCAAAAGGTTAGCTGAGTGGAAATTCTACACCTAAAAGGAAAGAGAAAAGCAAATTGAGACTCAGAGGAGCTACAGAAAGCAGAGGTACCAAAATGTGCACGCGGAGAGGGCGGGCAACTAAGTACCGAGCTGGTTTTCTCAATCGGGAGGGAGACAAAAGTTCCCGACTACTCTGAACTGGTTCAGAGCAAGACTCTGGGGTCCCCAGACTTATTCGGGGGAAAACTGGAATGTCAGGAAAGAGAAAAGCACACCGAGACTCAGAGGAACCGCGGGAGGCAAAGGTACCGAGGCGCATGCCCGTGGACAGGGAGGGCTAGCAATTGAGTACACGGCTGGCTTTCTCAATCTGGAAGGAGACGAAAGCGCCTGACTGCTCGGAACTTCAGTTCCGAGTGAGACTTTGGGGACCCAGACTCATTTGGGGAGAAATTGGACTGTCTGGCAGCAGGTGGAACTCAAGGGCAGCTTTCTCTCAGAGGTACTTATAGCGATTACCACGGGACACTGAGACCATGGGCTTCGTAGGACAGGGCTGACAGGAAGCCATTGCTGTCTGCTCCACCCTGAAACTCCGCTCCATCCAAGCTGAGCACAGAGGCTTTTGCAAGTCTTGTCTCAGAAGAGTGTCTCCAGCACAGAAGTTCTCCCGGCATACACACAGCTGATCCTCACAGCCAGTTGGACTGGAGATCAATTCCTCCCAGTGATAACAATAATAATCAAGGCTTAACTACAACAAGACTGTGCACACAGCCCACAAAGGGGTGCACCAAGAGTGTCCACCCCAGGTAACTGGGGAGGTTGAGCCACTGGGCCCTATAGAACACCAACCACAGAAGACTCTATCAACTCAGGGAAATAGCCAAAATGCAGAGACAAAGAAACAGGTCACAAATTAAAGAAATGGAGGAAAGTAAACGACTAGATATAGAGTTCAAAACCACGGTTTTAAGGTTTTTCAAGAATTTTCTAGAAAAGATCAATAAATTTAGCGAGATCCTTGAGGATATGAAAAAAGAACAACTAGAAATTAAGCATACACTGACTGAAATAAAAAAATAATATACAGAGATCCAACAGCAGATTAAGGGATCACAATAATCAAGTCAAAAATTTGAAATACAAAGAAATAAAAAGCACCCAACCGGGAAAGAAAAAAGAAAAAAAGAATCCAAAAATATGAAGATAGTGTAAGGAGCCTCTGGGACAACTTCAAGCATACCAACGTAAGAATTATGGGGGTGCCAGAAAAAGAGAGAGAAAGATACTGAAAACCTATTTGAAGAAATAGTGACAAAAACTTCCCCCACCTGGTGAAAGAAATAAACTTACGAGTCCAGGAAGTGCAGAGAACCCCAAAGGAAAGGAATCCAAAGAGGACCACACCAAGACACATTGTAATTAAAATATCAAGAGCAAAAGACAAAGAGAGAATAATAAAAGCAGCAGGAGGGGGGGGAGAGGGGGGGTCGGGGTCTGCATGTCTGCCTGGGGCCTTCCTGCGCCCGCCTCCAATCTGCTGCGTGTTCCATTCGTGGCTGGCGGTTTCTCGGGTCCATGCCTCCCGCTGGCCCGTATCTGGGGTTCTGCTCAGGCAGCCACTGCCTGTACCCCTCTTGCTGGGAGCCCTGTGGTCCCCTTACTCTCTGGGTCACCTCTGAACTGTCATGCACCTTAATAAACTCAGAAATGTAAAAAAAAAAAAAAAAGCAGGAGAAAAACAATTAGTTACCTACAAAAGAGCACCCATATGATTGTCTGCTGATTTCTCAATAGAAACTATGCAGGCCAGAAGGGAATGGCAAGAAATATACAAAGTAATGAATAACAAGAACCTACAACCAAGATTACGCTACTCAGCAAAGCTACCATTCAGAATTGAAGGTCAGATAAAGAGCTTCAAAGATAAGAAAAAGCTAAAGAATTCATCACTGCCAAATCAGAATTATATGAAATGCTGAAAGGTATTCTTTAAGAAGAGGAAAAAGAAGAAAAAGGTAAAGATAAAAATTATGAACAACAAATATATGTCCATCAACAAGTGAATAAAAAATCTGATGAACAAAATAAACTGGTGAATATAATAGAATCATGAGCATAGAAAAAGATGGACTGACAATCCTCGGGGAGAAAGAGGCGTGTGGGGTGCAGGAAGAGACTGGACAAAAATTGTACACCTATGGATGTGGACAGTGAGGGGGGGTGGTAAGGGCAGAGGGTAGAGTGAGAACCGGGTGGAGAGGAGCTGGGGGGGGGGGGAATAAACTATTGTAAAAATATGAACAATAAAGATTTATTTTTTTTAAAGGAATTATATAAATACATCTTATTACTGGGTATAGAAATATCCAACAACACCATCCTCCCCCTCCCAATTGCTATTCTTCCAAGTTACTTTGACTTTAATTTTCCACATAAATTTTACGATAGACATCTCAGGCTACATTAAAAAATCTCTATAGGAATTCTGAATGAAAACTGTTATCTTTACACTATCCAGTCTATCATCTATGAGTATTGAAATTCCATTTATTCAAATCCTTTCTTATTCTTCAACTAGAGGCCCTGTGCACTAAATTCATGCATGGGGATGGGGAGGGGTGAGGGAGTTATCCCTCAGCCCAGCCTGCACCCTCTCACAATTTGGGAACCCTCAGAGGATGTCTAACTGCCAGTCTAGGCCAGGTCCTGTAGTCAAACATCCCTCTAGCAATCCAGGACCACTGGCTCCTAACCACTCGCCTGCCTTCCTGCCTTCCTGCCTGCTAATCACCCCTAACCACTATGTCTGCCTGCCTGATTGCCCCTAACTGCTCACCTGCCTGCCTAATCACCCCTAACTACTCTGCCTGTTTGCCTACTTGCCCATAACCACTCTGCCTGCCTGATTGCCCTTAACTGCTTGTCTGTCTGCCCGATCGCCCATAACCACTCACCTGCCTGCATGATCACCCCTAACTGCCTCTGCCTCAGCCCCTGCTGCAGCGGCTTTGTCCAAAAGGATGTCCAAAATGATACCGAGAAGGTCATTTGGCTGTTTGGTCTAATTAGCATATTGTGCTTTTATTATTATAGATATTCATATCAATGCCATATACTCATGTAATGTTTTAAATGAATACAGAATACACGTTCTCAAGCACAATGCAACATTCTCCAGGAGATGCTATATTCTGAGCCACAAAATAGCTCAAAAACATTAAAAGCAGCAATGTTATATAAAGTGTGTTTTCTAACTACAAAAGAATTTTTAGAAATAATACAAAAAATCTGGGGTAATATCAAATATTTGAGAATTTAAAAAAGAAAACCACTCTTAAGTAAACCATATAGGTCAAAGAAACCAAATGGAATATTAGAAAGTATTTTCAAGTCAATGAAAATCAACTAGAGTTGCTGATTTATTCTCCTTTATATATAAGACAAAAAGGAAATAAAAGTTTCAGCATTCTTCAGAGTAACAAAGAAAAATAGCCACTAGATATAATCTCAAGTTAGACATTTATTGAAATACTAGAGGCCAGGTGCACGAATTCGTGCACCAGTGGGGTCCCTCAGCATGGCCTCAGAAAATTGGGCTAAAACCAGCAGTGCAACTCTGCCTGCAGCTCCTGCCTGCTGCTCTGGCTCATCCTGGCCCTGCTGTGCCTGTCGCAGGCTCGAACCCAGTCATTCTCAATTGGGAGAGGCTCATGCCACTGCAATGGTGCTCACCAGGCCTGAGCCCTGCATCTGGTGCCCATCTGTCAGCTGAGCATCGCTCCCATTGTGGGAGCACACTGACCACCAGGGGGCAGCTTCTGCATTGAGTGTCTGCACCCTGGTGATCAGTGCACATTATAGCAACCAGCCGTTTGGTTGCTTACTCTTTTACATATATAGATTATTAATCACAACTAGATAGCCCACAGATCCTAGGAGACATGGAAAACTTCTGAAGTTCAAATGTCTCAAAAAGTTGCTTCATAGATAACCTTCAAGGACATTTATATAAGATACAAAATAGGATTTCACTATTCTATTGAGCACCTTATTAGCAATTCATATGTCTTCTTTGGTATAATGCCCATTCAAATATTATGCCTATTTTTAAAATTTGACTAATCTTACTATTGAGTTGTAAGACTTCTTTATATATTACTAGTGTCCCGATACACAAATGATGATTTGTGCAATGGGCATCGTTCCCCTAGCTGCCCGCACTGCCTTCGCTCTGGCCGGAGCAACCTTTCCGCTCCAGCCTTTCTTCCTTCCCACACTGCCCAGAACGGAGAGGCTGGGATGGAATGGAACTGCCGCATCGTCACCATAGCGATGACAAGAGCATCCCATCCCATCCCTGGCCTCTCTGCACCTGCATATGCAAGTTAAGCCTCCATCTTTGTTGGGTTAATTTGCATATTCATTCCTGATTGGCTGGTGGGAATCTCAAAGATATGGTCAATTAGCATGTTACTCTTTTATTAGGTAGGTAGATGCATCATTTTTAGTCTAAAACTTTTATCTAAAAAGTTTATTCCAAAAGGCTCTATTTTAGAATTTTAGCCCCTGTATAAATACCCTTTCTATATATTCAGAGTTCTTTTTTCCTGGAATTGCTAATTGGGAAAGATTACAATGTCTCGAAGATTTCATTTGCTATATAACTGATTAAGAAATGTAGGGCCTAAATAAATCTGATTTGTTTTTAAGGAGAAAGAAATACAAATTTTCCATGTGAACATAAGGGTTATAAATTCTACTTTAACAATATAGTTCTGGTAACTGTCTATATACTCCCCATGAAAAGGGTCATGAGAATCTCTAGCAGTCAGTCCTGACATTATTAAGACAGTGAACCAAAGCCAGTAATTGCTTATCTGCAAATTCCTCTAGAACAGCGGGTTCTCAACCGTTCCAATGCCGTGACCCTTTAATACAGTTCATGTTGTGGTGACCACCAACCATAAAATTATTTTCGTTGCTACTTCATAACTGTAATTCTGCTACTGCTAATGAATTGTAATGTAAATATCTGTGTTTTCGGTGGTTTAGTACCTGGTAACAAAAAGTCTGTGACCTCCTATCTGCTTGGTTTCCACAGCAAGGTTCCCTTTACCCACCCCAATTTTATTTTCAGCTTTGTTACATAATCTGAAAAGTTCCCTCTTGACCTTTCAAGCAGAAAGCTTAACTCTAGTTCTCCCCCTTTTTGTGTGGGACAAACTAGCAGTTGACACTGCTTGCTTTCAAACCTGGGGCCATTACTTCTGCTGTACTTGGCACTTTGCATTACCTTTCCATTCCTGACTCACAAAGATATTTATTTTGATGCTGAGCCTATAATTATTATTATCATCATCATTATTATTTGGTGTTATAATATCACCATCATTACTAATGTATTCAGAGTACAAGAACAGGTGAAACAACCTAACCAGCCTGGTTTAGTGGTTGAGTGTCGATCACAGTTTAATTTCTGGCCAGGACTCATGCCGCGATTGTGGGCTCGATCCCCAGAGAGGGGCAAGCAGGAGGCAGCCAATCATAGATTCTCTTTTATCATCTGGTGCATGAGATTCACGCCCTGACAGGGCGGGGGTCTCCTCCTCCCGGCCTGCACCCTCTCGCAGTCTGGGACCCCTTGGGGGATGTCCGCCTGTTGGCTTAGGCCTATCCCTCTCACAGTCCAGGGCTCTCACATTTCGGAAACCCTCGCTCCTTTCCACCTTCCTGCAACAGAGGTAGGCAGGAGAGGCTCCCGCCACCGCCCTGTGCTTGCCAGCCATGAGCCCAGCTCAGGGCTTCTGGCTGAGTGGCATTTCCCCTGTGGGAGCGCACTGACCACCTGGGGCAGTTCCTGCGTTTAGCATCTGTCCCCTGCTGGTCCATGCATGTCACAGAGACCAGTCGTTCTGCCATTAGGTTGATTTGAATATTAGCCTTTTATTATACAAGATTTTTTTATATAAATATATTTTATTGATTTTTCACAGAGAGGAAGAGAGTGGGATAGAGAGTTAGAAACATCGATGAAAGTGTCATTGATCAGCTGCCTCTTGCACACCCCCTACTGAGGATATGCCCGCAACCGAAGTACATGCCCTTGGCCGGAATCGAACCTGGGACCTTTCACTCCGAGGCTGACGCTCTATCCACTGAGCCAAACCAGTTTCAGCTATATAAGATTTTTTTTTATCTCCCTCTCCCTTTCTCTCTGAAATCAATAAAAATATATTTATTTAAATAAAAAGGTGAAACAAAGAAATGTAATGCACCATTCTGACAGGAAGTCATTCATCTATGTTTTTTTCTTTTATTCCTAACTAGAGGCCTGGTGCACGGATGGGGGTGGTATCCCCTCAGCCCAGCCTGCACCCTCTTCAATCCAGGACCCCTCAGGGGGTTTAGACCAGCTGCCGGACATCCCTCTAATAATCATGGACCATAGGCTCCTAATCATTCACCTGCCTACCTGCCAGGTCTCCCCCAACTGCCCTCCCCCCACTCATCTGGTACCCCAACTACCCCCCCTCTGCTGGCCTGGTCAACCCTAACTGGTCCCTCTACTGGCCTGGTCACCCCCAACCCCCATCCTGGCCTGGTCGCCCCATGCAGCCTGCTTGTACAGTAGTTTGGTCATCCCTCGAGCCAGTCCTGGGCGGCTGGGCAGCTGACATCTGAGGCTTGCCTATGCCTCGGGCCGGCTCTGGACGGCTGGGGGGGCTGAAGAAACTTGCGGAATGGGGGACTCCAGAAGCAGGTGTGGGGAGCGGACAGACCCACTTAGGAGCAGGCCCCGCCATGTCGTATGCCTGCGGCCCCAGCTGGGCTAATGGGATTGGGCACTGCCATCTTGTGGCTGTGGGCACTGCCATCTTTGAGGACGTGGCAGTCAATTAGCATATTCTCTCCTTATTGGCTGCATAATCAATTAGCATAATCCATCTTTATTAGATAGGATAACTCTAGTCTTGAATCATTTATTTTGTTTTTACTAAAACATAAACTATGAATTAATTTCAAGTAATGACCAATTGAAAAGCATTTTCTTATAGTATCATTTATTCAAAATGTGAAATACCCATTTAAATTACTTACCAATACTATGAAATTGCCATCGCTGATGAATTCTCTCTGGAAGAAGTTGCAAAATTTTCTAAAAATCAACATAAATAAAACAACAACCAAGAAAAAAGAATGAAAAGCAAGGAATGAATCCACATTCTGTGCAACATGAAAAATTAAAGAGCTTACACTAAAGCTTTAAGAGTTTCTTAGGTAAAAGATAATATCACAAATACAAGTTAGTATTGAGCTAAACTGATATAACTGGAATTATTTCTGAAATGGCATATAGTCAATATTTGAAAACCCCGTAAACAACAAACTATGTTAACAAAGACATGAAATAGTAAATTGATTTTAACTTTTACAATGATATGGAAAGTAATTATATTTCTCCATAGTGATTAAATACTAACTGCAATATATTTCAAAATATACTATTATTTACTATTTTTAGAATTTCTGCATTGTGGATATTACTGATAAATTTTTAAATTCTTTAAGATATTAAGATTTGTGACATTTTCTCTCCTCAAGTAATTCTTTCTGCTGTTTTAATAAATCATGAGGAAATATTCTGATTTCACAAAAATCCTATGAAATATTTATGCTAAGTGAACCCAAAAATATTTATACTATGTGAACCCAAAGGCACTTATATTTTATGATAACTATAGGCTGAAGAATAAAAATTTTAAATTCAAAAGACCTATTTAGTTAAGCTAATATAGGTTTCTATAATTGAAAATAAACACTTTTTACATATAATACTTTCAAAATTTTGCCTTTAATTTCTTTTATGTGTTGCATATGTGTGAATTATTCTAAATCCACAGCTGCTGTATGTACTATGTTGCTGAACTAAGCTCTCAGTACTCTACTCACTGAATGACATTTGTGTGTTTGGTGTTACTGCAGCTCTTACTTATGTAGTTACTAGAGGCACAGTGTACGAAATTCGTGCACGGGCAAGGGGGGTGTCTGTCATCCCAGCCTGTACCCTCTCCAATCTAGGATCCCTCTCATAATCCAGGACTGCCAGCTCCCAACTGCTCACCTGCCTGCCTTCCTGATTGCACCTAACCACTTCTGGTGCCAGATTGATGACCTCCTAACCACTGTCCTGCCAGCCTGTTTGCCCCTAACTCCCCTCCTCTGCCGACCTGGTCCTCCCAACTGCCCTCCCCTGCTGGCCATCTTGTGGTGGCCATCTTGTGTCCACATGGGGGCAGGATCTTTGACCACATGGAGGCAGGCTTCTTGTGTGTTGGAGTGATGGTCAATCTGCATATTACGCTTTTATTATAGGATAGAAGCCTGGTGCATAGGTGAGGGCCAGCTGGTTTGCCCTAAAGGATGTCCCGGATCAAGGTGGGGGTTCCCTTGGGGAATGGGGTGGCCTGGGCGAGGGGCCAGCCTGCCCCCTGGCAATCCAAGCAGAGGCCTGGTATCTGGGATATGTTTATCTTCTACAATTGAAACTTTGTAGACTGGAACGAAGCCAAACCTTCTGTTCGCTCCATGGCAGCAGCTATTTGTGTTGGGGTTTATTCAACTTCTATAATTGAAACTTTATAGCCTGGAGTGGAGACCTAAGCCAGACAGGGCAGGTGGAAAGCTTGCCTTCCTCCTTCACAGGGGGAAACCCTAGCCTACTCTCTCCAGCTCACTGGCTGCCGCCATTTTTCTTGGGATTTATCTTCTATAATTGAAACTTTCTATCCTTGAGTGAACGCCTGGGCCAGCCAGGGTATGTGGAAAGCTTGGCTTCCTCCATTGCCAGGGAAACCCAAGCCTCCCTCCTGCTCTCTGTGGTGGCAGTCATCTTGGTTGGGGTTAATTTGCATATTTGCTCTGATTGACGGGTGGGCATGTGGTGTAGTGGAGTGATGGTTAATTTTCATATTACTATTTTATTAGGTAGGATCAGAAACATCATTAACTGGATGTTCATGAAGGCTAAATACTAAACTAGATACTTTATATAACTGCATCTTATTAATCTTCACAACCAACCTAAAAAGTTTTTTAATCTCATTTGACAAAAAAATTAGAACATGGGTTAAGTAATGTGCTTAAGTTAGAAAGTAAAAGAACCTGGCCTGTGTGGCTCAGTGGATTGAGTGTCATCCCATGCACCAAGAGGTTACTGGTTCGATTCCAGGTCAAGGCATATGCCCAGGTTGCAGGCCCAATCCCCAGTGAGGGGCATGCAGAAGGCAGCCGATCAATGTTTCTATCTTCTCTCCCTCTCACTTCCTCTCTCCCTAAAATATCAATAAAAAACAAATTTTTTAAAAAAGAAAGCAAAAGATAAGCCTATTTCTAAAATTTGTGCTTTTATACTATTCTGCTCAAAGGATACATGTTTTACTCTTCTCTCATATGATCTCACACAAGATGATGAAGAAATTGCAAAGTTCTTCATAGTTCAATGAGATACATAAACTTCTTTATCTTTGCTCTCTTCATTTTTCTCTCATAGTGATACAATTACATAATTATAACTATTTTGAAAAAAATAAAATTATTTTCAAAAGAAGTTTGTGACTATTCAAAAGCATTCCTAAATTATGATTATAAAATTATAATTTAGACTTAACCCTTCAGAATATGTAAATGAACATGTCTACATGTTTTTATATGGTTAATATAAAAATGAATGAAATTTTGTGTACTCTTAACTGCACAGTAAACAACTTACACCATGTTATTAATATTACATAATAAAGTTTTCTATTCCAAAAGGACGAAATAACTTTATAATGCCTTCATTTAAAAAGTTATCATTAGTCTCTGAAGGAATAATATTCATCGTCTCCATTATAAGTAGAAAACACAGCACAAATTAAATTTTTTTTCAAAAGATGAAAACCCTGTATCTAACATTCTACTTTCTTAATAAAATTTAGTGATTCATTAAAAACAGAGATTACTGTTCAATGAATAATCAGTATACAGGGTGTACCAAAAAATGTATACATAAACTTTAAATAATTATCAAAGCAATGTTTATTAAAATACATTTCATTTTTAAAATTGAGCTACTAGCTGTTAAAGTGTGTATAAATTTTTGGGATACCCTGTATATTAAACGTAGAAAAATATGCCAAAACCGGTTTGGCTCAATGGATAGAGCGTTGGCTTGGGGACTGAAAGGTCCCGGATTCGATTCCAGTCAAGAGCATGTACATTGGTTGCGGGCATATCCTCAGTAGGGGGTGTGCAAGAGGCAGCTGATCGATGACTCTCTCTCATCGATGTTTCTAACTCTCTATCTCTCTCCCTTCCTCTCTGTACAAAATCAATAAAATATATTAAAAAAGAAAAAGAAATATTACTTTTTAATAGAAGAAATACCCTGAAAAGCTTCTATTAACTTATTAATCATTTCAATTTCCTGAATATAAAGCAAGCATGAATGTCTTAAGGAACACTTTCTAGCAATTATCATCTTGCTTTCTCTGTGGGTACTTTTATTCTTTCCCAAAACATCTATGTCTTAATATTTGCCTTGTAAACAATTCATGCAAACACTTGAGGTAACTAAGAGGGAATTCTTCAAGGTTAATGACTAATGAAATTAAATGAAGGTTAAGAACCAACATCAGTTACTTCCCTCTGGAACCCTGGGGGAAAAACAAAAACAAAAACAAAAAAACTTTCTTTTTCTAGCTGTGCCTAAATCAATATAAATCAACAGCTAAAAGAGATATCAGATTGCTCAAATTCTTCTAAGCTATTTCAAAATACAAAACAATAAATTATCTTTAATTCACTGCACATAGAACAGCCCAATCTTTAGAAAGTGATTTCCAAATTCTTTACTATGTCTTTCAAATCACAAGGTCTAAACCTGACTTTCTCGAGATCTCTGAATTCTGCATAAATATCAGAAAACTCCTATCACTGTTTGATTTCAAAGACAGAAGGAAGAGCAAGATGTTATTTTTAAAGCAGGCACGCAGTGGGTGGGGGTGAGGGCATCCTAATTTTTATTAATGTGGTAAAAATAAAACACAAATTTTAGGAAAGTATCAAATGTTATTTCCTTCTGTTAATTTAGCAATAAAGACTTGTCCTACACCCTCCAAAATAATATAGGACAATACTTTATAAAATATTTAAAACTGTTATACAAATTTGCAATAAAAAGCAGTTAAAGTAGAAACTATAAATTCCTTAGATATATAAACAGTTCCATAAAGTTAGCCTCTCAGGTAAGAATATTTTAGAATTTTTAAAAACCCTGGAAGGTATGGCTCAGTTGGTTGGACTTCATCCCATGCACCGAAGGATTGTTGGTTCAATTCTTGGTCAGGGCACATGCCAGGGTTATGGATTCAATCCCCTAATAGGGGGTGTACAGGAGGAAGCTGATCGATGTTTCTCTCTCTCCTTCTCTCCCCATTCCTCTCTCTAGTATTAATAAAAATATTCTTTTCTAAAACCTACATTTGTATAAACCTCCCTCAAATTAAAATTTTCATTGTTTACAAACACTTAAAGTGTGAAAATTTTAAATATATATAAATATATATAAATATATATAAATATATATAAATATATATAAATATATATAAATTTCATGATGTCAAATGTGTAAAAACATAATTGTATCTATACTTAAAAATAATATATGTACCTCAAAAATAATTAAGAATTAAGTCAGAAATGTAATTCAGTTTTTGAAAAGCACAGCAGATTCGGTATTTTACTTAATATATTTGTATTGATTTCAGTGAGGAAGGGAAAGGGAGAGATAAAAACATAAATGATGAGAGAGAATCACTGATTAGCTGTCTTCCACACGTCCCACACTAGGGATGGAGCCCGCAACCCAGGATTATTTCCTAACCGGGAGTTGAACTATGACCTCCTGGTTTATGGACTGACATTCAACAACTTAGCAACACCAGCCAGGCCACAGTGTTTTTATAGTTTATAGTTCAATACATTCCGTTGTATGTTCCAGGTACCACTTTTGTAAAAAAAGAAAGATTAGCAGGTCTTACCTCAAAAATAAAAAGTATAGCATCCAATTCCTCCCTTTGAGACTTGTGACCTAAAACATTTTTACAAAAAAATATTTTAAACATTATCATTTTATCCTCACTGTTAATAACCACTTAAAATAGTCTAAAATATCTTTTGCAGTAAATATTTTTCTGTGATTTTTTAAAAAAATAAAATGGTTAAAGTATACTCTGTTCAATGTAAACACAGTATCACATCATCTCTGTCTACTCTTTTTCAACAACTAAATTTAGACTACACATATTTATGTCTAAAAACAAGTCATAATATATTGTGGAAAACTTTAAATGAACTCTGAAACTGAAAATATAAAAATGAATGCTCAAACCTGATACATGCCTCTAGGGCAGACCAAAGAATGTGAGGAAACAAGCAAATCCTTCCAGGAAAAAGGCAAATCTCCTAAGCCTTTTCAAAATAATAACACTACTGTGAACCCATAGCTGTGCAAGGAGTATTAAAAGCTATCTGCCAAAAAAAAGAAAAAGTGCCAATGTCCAAGAGTCTATTTGAATATATGACAATTGGGGAGAAGAACCAAGATGGTGGCATAGGTAATCACATATGCTTGTTGCCTCTCACAACTACATCAAAACCACAACTAAACAGCAGAACAACTGCCATCCAGAACTGCAGGAAAGCTGGCTGAGTGGAAGTTCCACAACTATAGAGGTGAAGAAAATGGATTAAGACCATTAAGAGATGCGTAGGAGCGAAAAGTGCTGGCACCTGGATGCGCTGCTCTTTTATCCAGGAGGGAGATCCAAGCTACTACTTGCTCTGAACACAAATTCCCCATGAGACCCTGGGCGACCGAGGCACATAATGGGGAGAAAAGACTATCTGGCATCGGGACAGGAATGTGAGGGGGACTTACTCTTAAGAGGTGCTCGCAGCGATCACTGTTCCTGCACAGGGACGCGGGACACAGAGAACCGATGATTTCTCCAGTTCAGGGCTGACTGGTAGCCAATGCTGTTTGCTCTGCTCTGGTGATTGCCAGAGATCCCGCCCCACCAAAGCTGTGCACATTGGCTTTTGCATATGAATGGCCGGTCCATTCACCTAAAACCTGTCAAACTGCAGCAGGGCCCGGTCTGGGCACTTTCAAACCCCATTCAAAGAGGAGGAATCTGCAGGTGTCTCTGTTGTTCCTGCTGAGCGGCCCCAGACAGTGGCTGACCTTGTACCTCCTTGGAGATTCAAGAGCCAGAGTATGTCAGAGTGAGACCATACAGATTACAACTCTTCACATCCATAAGAGACACACTAAATGGGGCAACTCAGTGAGCACCAAAGACCCACAAAAGCAAGTCCTTCCCCATAAGGGTGTCTCCTGCGCAACAGATCTTCCAGTGTTGACACAGCTGGTCATCACAGCCAACTGGCCTGGAGGTCAATTCCTCCCAGTGATAACTACAACAAGACTGTGCAAATAGCCCACAAAGGGGTGCAACAAGAGCATCCACCTCAGGTGTCTGAGGAGGCTGAACCACTTGGCCCTATAGGACACCTACTACACAAGGCCACTCAACTCAAGGAGACTTAGCAGCTACCCAGTACACAGAAACAAACACAAGGGAAGCAACCAAAATGCGGAGACAAAGAAACAAGTCACAAATGAAAAAAAAATGGATGAACGCAAAATACTAGATATAGAGTTCAAAACCATGATTGTAAGGTTACTCAAGAATTTTCTAGAAACCTCCCAGAAATTTAGTAAGACCCTCAAGGATATGTAAAAGGACCAATCAGAAATTAAGCATATACTGACTGAAATAAAGAATAATATACAGAGATCTAACAACAGACCCCAAGAATCAAGTCAAAGATTTGAAATACGAAGAAGCAAAAAACACCCAACCAGAAGAGGAAAACAAAAAACAAAAAAAAACAAAAACCAGCATCCAAAAATATAAAGATAGCAATAAGGAGCCTCTGGAACAAATTCAAGCATACCAACATCCAATTGATGGGGGTGCCAAGAGAAGAAAGAGAGAGCAAGATATTGAAAACCTATTTGAAGAAATAATGACTGAAAACTTCCCTCCACCTGGTGAAAGAAATAGACTTAAAAGTCCAGGAAGCACACAGAACCCCAAATGAAAAGAATCCAAAAAGGACTACACCAAGACACATCATAATTAAAATGCCAACAGCAAAAGACAAAGAGAGAATATTAAAAGCAGCGAAAGAAAAAGTTATCTACAAGGGAGTACCCATAGACTGTCAGCTGGTTTCTCAACAGAAACTATGCAGGCCAGAAGGGAATGGCAAGAAATATTCAAAGTGATGAATAGCAAGAACCTAAAACCAAGATTACTCTACCCAGTAATTGAAAGTCAGATAAAGAGCTTCAAAGATAAGAAAAAGCTAAAGGAGTTCATCACTGCCAAACCAGTATTATATGAAATGCTAAAGGGTATTCTCTAAGAAGAGGAAGAAAAAGGTAAAGATAAAAATTATGAACAACAAATTAACAATATATATCTATCAATAAGTGAATCTAAAAATCAAGTGAATAAAAAATTCTGATGAATAGAATAAACTGGTGAATATAATAGAATCAGAGGCTCAGAAAGTAAGTGGACTGATAATTCTCAGGGGGGGGAGGGTAGAGGGAATGCTGGGGGAGTATGGGAAGATATTGGACAAAAATCTTATACCTATGGACGAGGACAGTTGGGGGGGTAAGGATATGGGGTGGGGTGGGAACCGAGTGGAGGAGAGCTATGGGGGGGGGAAAGAGGAACAACTGTAATATTAATAATCTGAACACTAAATATTTATTTTAAAAAAGAAAAGAAAATATATGGCAATTACTGGAAACATCAACATAAACCATAATCAATTTTTAACATCTTACCTTTCTGTTTCAGACTAGCTTCAATAGTCACGAAATTCTCAAAGAACACATAATAAATATGTGAAAAATGTTGGTCAAAAAACTGTTTAAGGTCGATAGACTCCGCATTCTCTGAAAAATAAATGAAAACAATTTTAGTGATTACAATTACAAATATATGTTAAATTATGTTAAGCAGATATGACAGTTGCAAGTTTTCTTTAACGATTTTAGCTTTAATTTTATAAAATGATCTAGTCATCACAAACTTTGTTTTGACAAAGAAAACAATGCCCCAGAAAGACTTATTCAAAACCATAAACCAAACCAAAAAAAGAAGTCAAGTTCCATTTTGAATTCACAAATATGCCTCTAACTTCTCCCTTAAGACAGTTTAAAATCAGTATTTCTACAAAGTAATAATATATTGTGCTAAAATACATGTTCTCAGTAAATATGTATCTAGCAGGCTTTATAAATAAGTACTTAAGTATTGTAAAGCTTAAATACAGATAATAGTGCTCTAAAAGAACTGTCAGTGTAGTCGAGGGCACACAAAACTAAACATAGAAGAATGGGCTTACAGTTGTGAGTATGTGAAACAGTTTATTCTTATATTATTAATTATTGTATTACTTGTTTGTATTACAACTGTAAACCTACTTTTACCCACCCCTATATTATTGTACCCACAGTAGAAAGTGTTAGGATCTGAAAATGAAGTTACAAAGTATAATGGCAATTTAGAAATACAAAATTTCTTTCAAAGCTCAATGAGAGGTGAAAATGGAGAAAAAAAATGCCTGAGGATATCTATACATATAAAAGCCTAAGCAACCGTCGCAACTATATCAACTAAACGGACGACCAAGCAGGCTGTGTGGGGGGACCAGGCTGGCAGGGGGGGTCAATGAGGGGCGACCAGGCTGGTGGGGGAGGGGGGGAGACACGGACACAAAGACAAATAGGGATGATCAGGCAGGCAGGCAGGTGAGCAGTTAGGAGCCAGTGGTCCCAGACTGTGATAGGGATGTCCAACTGCCAGTTCTGGCCCAATCCCACAGCGGTCCTGGATTGAAGACCGCTTCAGGCTGGTCTGAGGGGACCCATCCCCCATGAACAAATTTCACTGGGCCTCTAGTATTCCTTATTAAAACCTTTAAGGATAGAAGGACTCTGGAGATGAGCAGGTGGGGTTGAACAGGAAGGACATTCTACACATAAGCTAACACATAGAGTGATGAACATGTGAAGTGTAATAGGATGCAGAAAAACTAATTCATTTTGGCTAGAGCTTAAGATCATTTTTTAAAAATTAAATTGGAAAATGAGTCTTTAGATATATTATAAAATGTTCTGAACAAAAATTAAGGAGACTGAATTTATTATTCAAAACAAGATACCTGTAGGTGTATAGCATGTATTCCATGCATTTTGTTGTTTGGCTTATTTTCTAGGGGAGTAGAAGATTGAGGGGAAAAAGGGAATGGAAAACTTATGTACTTCCTTACTATTCAAGCTTGTTTATGAAAAACACATTTCTCTTATAATAAAAAATAAATTTGAAAAAGGCACAGGGGGGAAAGTCAAAGATGTTTTTTTTTTAATCTGGTAATGAGATGGAAAATAAACTAGTAATCCTATATAATAAAAGGATAATATGCAAATTGACCCTAAATGAGGAACAACCAGGAAAGACCAGTCGCCATTATGCACACTGAACAACGCCGGAGCTGGCCCCTGGCGGTCAGTGTGCTCCCACAGGGAAGCTCCGCTAAGCCACAAGCCGGGCTGACAGTTGTGAGCGCAGTAATTGGTGGTGGAGGGAGAGTGCTAAGGATGTCCAACTGATGGCTTAGGCCCGCTCCCCAAGGACTCCTGGGCTGCCGAGGGATGTCTGACTGCCAGCCCTCGAGGGGTCCCGGAATGGGAAAGGGCGCAGGGTGGGCTGAGGGACACCACCTCCCGCCCCCCTCAAAGGCACAGATTTTCATGCACCGGATTTCTAGTTAGTAAACTCGCCTTAAAGGTAAACGTTAATTAATTGGACTGATCTAACATTCAAAGGAAAATTTCAGAATAAAGTTAAATAGTACCTACATATAGACAGCATTTTAAATTCTCGTTTTTGTATTATTTTTCCTACAAATATAATAAATCCTTAGTGACATCTCATCTATGGAATTTTCCAAGACTGTTTCGCTTTTACTCTACTTTCCCAAAGAAGGGATAAATGGCCTCTCCTCTATTCTCTTGGATTCCATACATTTCTTTTTTATAGAAATAACTATATTTCAAGTATTCTTATCTTTTTTCTAAGATTAGTCTAATGCTTCTTTAAAATAGAAACTGTGTCTACCTTAGTATTCCCAAAACCTAGCACAGTGCTGAGCACATATGTGCTCAAGTATGTTTTATCCTATATTAGAGGCCTGGAATATTCATGCACTGGAGGGGGTGTCCCTCAGCCCGGCCTGCCCTCTCTCACAGTCCAGGAGCCCTCAGGGGCAGGAGGCAACCTGGCAATCAGGAGAAAGCAGCACCCCATCACACCTCTGCTGCTGCCACTGCCAGCAACACAAGACTCATTTGCCCTGGTTACCTGAGCCTTGGGTGGCCCGAGGTGGCTGAGCAGCCCCCATCAAAGGCTTACCTGCACCTCGGGCCGGCCCTGGGTGACTGCAGGGACTGAGGGGACTGAGAGACTCTGGAAGCAGGCACACAGAGTGGCCGGGCCTGCCCCTAGATGGGGCTGAAGGAATCGGGCGCCACCATCTTATGGCTGTAGGCACCGCCATCTTCGAGGGTGTGGCAATAAATTAGCATATTCCCTCCTTATTGGCTACGAGGGTCAATTAGCATATTCTCTATTAGACGAGATAATAAAGAGCTAATATAAGAATGGTCATCGCGCCCTTTGGCCGGGGGATCTGAGGCCATGCTCCCTTCTTTGGGAAAGCCGGGGCTCGGGGACCTGAGGCTAGGTGGGAGGACCTAAGGCTGTGTCCCTCACCCCGGCACCAGAGACAGGGGCTCTGAGCCAGGCAAGGGGACCTGAAGCCAAGTCCCCCACACCTGGGACCTGAGGATACACCAGAGGACCTGAGGCCATGCCTAGCCTAGTGCTGGGCCGGGGAACCTACGGCTGTGCCCCCTGCCTGACAGGGCTTGACGGGGGACCAAAGACTGTGCTGCACTCCCCACCCCCCACCCTGCAGGACTTGATGGGGGGGCCAGCCGGGCCTGGGTCTCGTGTGATTTCAAGGCACGTGCGAGTGGGCGGCAACTTGACTCTGGGTACCACGGCATGCCCCAGGCTCTGACAGGAGGGAGATTTTCCTATACATTTTAATCATTTTCTTTCATTTCTGACCTATTATATAGAAAGGGCAAATAGTTCATTAAACTATTTCCTCTAATTAATTTCCTTCTAATGCACACAAATTTCATGTACCTGGCCACTAGTCTATATATGTAAAAGACAAGCAACCAGAATGACCAGAATGACTGTTAGCTACGATATGCTCTGGGGCCAGCCCACTGGCCAAATAGGAGGGCAACCCCACACCCAATTGGCCCCCAATACCACAATCAATGGCAGGGCTGACCAGCCAACCGTCCTTGACCCCTTCCCATGGCTGGTCCCACCCATGATTGACCTCCCCACCCCAATCAGGGGCAGGGCCAGCCGGCCAACTTCCTGTGTCCTCTCTCACTGGTCCAGCCTGATTGGCCCCCATCGGGGAACCAGACAGACCCACCCCTGCATGAATCCATGCAACAGGCCTCTAATTATTAATAAAATAAATTATTAGAACTTTATTATATTCATTTTGTAGCTTGGTAATTTTTACCTCGGAAAAGATTGCATAACCTACTGACACCAAAAAATGACATTCCTTCATCTCAACTATGTCTAGAACACCCAGATTCACTCCTATCTGTCACACAACCTCTTAACTTTTCACACAACTAGAGGGAAAACAACACAAACTAAATGATTTCTGTATCCAGACATTTTTCTAAGAAGTGTGTTAGATAAAATCTGTTTTATAGGTGAGAAAACAGGCACAGAAAGTTTAAGTAATTTAGCTAGTCATAAGCAGTGTCAGGGATTTGAACCCCACAGGGCCTGGATCAAATGTCCATTTAACCTCTTTTTCAGCTTCCAGTAATGTCCTATATAATGAAGAAGTAAAAAGCAAATTGAGAGGATCCAAGATGGCTGCTCGGGTAGACATCTAGCCGCGGCAGCACACAACAATTTCAATGGAATACAACTAAAATGTAGAGTGGACATTGCCCAGAGCTACAGGTAGTTGACTGACTGAAATTTCTACAACAAGAAGGAAAGAGAAAACCAGAAAGAAAATCAGAGGAGCTGAAAAAAAGCCTAAGGTACGGAGACATGCTGCGCGCGCCTGCCCGCCCGCACGCGCGCACGGAGAGGTCGCAGCCGGAGAGGAGGAGAGGGCGGGGAGCCGCCTTTCCTTCCCTAGCAGGAAGGAAATAAAACCCCCAGCCTGGGCTGAACCCCCGAACCAGCAGCGCTGAGCCCGCCCGAACCGGCAGCGCTGAGCCCCAGTTATGGGCCAGACCCTGGGGACCCAGGCTCCGGCAGGAGGAGACAGGGCCGTGAGGCGGAAAAACGGCGAAAGGCAGGGCCCCGGGAGTCGCGCGCAATGCGCGCAGAGGACTGAATGTTGACTCTGATGCTGGGTTACCCTAGCTGGAAGAAACAAGGCCTCCGGCGGCGCTGAGCCTCAGTCTGGACTGCTCCGAACCCCAGTTCTGGGCCAATCCCTGGGGACCCAGGCTCAGGCAGAGGGAGACGGGGCTGTGAGGTGGAGTCCGGGGAGAGCGGCGAAAGGCCGGGCCCCCGGGACTCGCGCAAACTGCGCGCAGACGACAGTCTGTGGGACTCGCGCAAACTGCGCGCAGAGGACAGTCTGTGGGACTCGCGCAAACTGCGCGCAGAGGACAGTCTGTTGACACTGATGCTGGACTTCCCTAGCGGGAAGGAGAAAAAAAAAAGCTCTAGGCTGGGGGAATGCGGAGGGGAGCGGAAGCCCTGCAGGACTCCAGCCAACCTGGCACCAGCAAGGAGGCGGGCCACGGGGCCCCTGGGGGCG